TCTCTGTTGGGAAAGTAAATTAAAGCTTTATTTAGCCAAGCAGAAATAAAACAATCAAGTAAACTCATTAAATGACTGGAATACTGAAAGTAGCATTATCAGCTTGATTCATTGGCCGAAATAAAAGTTGATCAAACCAAAATAAAAAATAAAAATCACTCTGAAGGTGCCGATTTCAGGTTTGAACTAAAAATTGTTTAATACTTACAGTAGCTGAAGCTGAGAAAGTTTGAAGACTTTTGTTGGCAGCGTAACTAATCTGTTCCTGTTCAGCCGAAGTACCAGCAGTGAGCTGGAGATGTTCTCAAAGCAGCCAGGCTCTAGGAGGCTGATTTTATTGTTACTCAAATTCCTAAAATATGAAACAAAAGCAGAAACACTGAAGCAAAAAATTAAAGGGGATAAATATGCCTAACCTATTTTAGGTCTGCTCAGGAGTAAAATGAGCTTCATGCATTGCTGATTTCTTTAATAACAAAAGCATTAGTGCATCCAGTTTTTTCATTAAGATATTTAAAATGCTTTACATTCCCAAAAGAACTGTTACTATTAAACCTAAACTCATCCGCAGAAGTGTTTTCTTATATTTTATACTACTGATTACACAACTATTGTCATCCACAGAAATTGAGGAGGAAGTAAAAGTTGTTGTTAATGTTTAATGATGACTCCAAGTCCTGAGGGGAAAAGTATAAACTGCTCATTTCAGTGATGCATTATTACTTACAGATATTTGAGCTGGATGGATGGAAAAGCTCCCACTTTGAGCTCAGAGATAGAGTTAGACGTTAGGTCCAGTGTTTCCAGGGAAATGTATGGTTGCAGCTGATGCATCAACAGTTCTGAGATCCGATTGTGGACTCTGAATTATATTAAAAACAAAAACATGTCAGTTTTCTGCAATGACATTGACATTACAAGTCACAATCAATTCAAAGTTATCATGAAGCTTGACTAAACTGCAATACTAAACTCAATGAGTAATGATAACTAATGATGCCTAAAAAATATCTGTATTTTTCAGATGTTTGATGTAATAGCTAATTTTTTCTAACTTCTGAGAAATCAGAAAGAAAAATCTTTAATATTTATGAAACTCTTCAAGTTGTTTTATGTGAACTTCCACAGAACAATTCTTTCAAGCTTTTTTAAAAGATATTTTATTGCCCAGCCACTTAAAAGTTATATAAAAATCATTCAAATATAAAAGGCAGCTAGATTTAAGCATAACTTCATACTGACAGATAAGAACCATATAACAAACAGTCAGTTCCGTACTTTGTCCTTTCTTTCACAGAGGAAGTTTGCTCCCGTTTATTTTCTAAATCAGTGAAAGATTTTTTTGTGACCATAATTCTTTGAAAGCTGGACAAGTAGAATGGTATAGAGATGCAGCAAATTGCCCAGGCCCAGGAATCAAACCAGGGCCAACTGTATTGAAAATTGTGCCCTTTGTATATGGTGAGCCTGCTCTATAGTGAGGGATGTGGTGGCCCCATTGACTGACATCATGTCAATTATTTGGCTCAACAAAGTGACACTAAAATATTCTTGAACAAGTCTTCCATACAGTGGGTAAATGGGTCAACTTTAACAGTACAAATCAAACTTTTGAGACCATATCCAGAAATTCAGTAGATTATACTTTTCATTTTTACTACATTAAACAAAATAAATTATAGCATGTTAGGATTGCAGGATTTAAGGTAATAGAAAAAAAAACTAAATTGCAATACAATATGTCAAGTACTGCAGAGACATTATCATTTACAATTAGCCCATATTTCCTTTCCATGAGCTTTAGAATTCTATATTGTGGGCATAATACACAGTTAGTCAAACCAAAAGACCAAATGCATTAGCAGCAACAGGTACCTAAAATATTATTACCTGCCAAATACTGCATCCCAGCAGACTTTCTAATTGCAATATTGTGCACATTGAAATTCAAATACAATTTAAAATTCTATTTTAGACTTTGCAGGTCAAAAAGCAAGATTAGATGTTTTTCTGTTTACATTTATTAATGGATAAGACAACTTTTTAAGACAAAATGACTTAGAAGATTTGGTAAGATCCAAATAAAAAAAGAAAAAGAAAGGGCAATAACAGTTTTCTCACTATTCTCTCAGCAATCAACGAAAACACAAGTGGAAATGACTACTTGTGTTGATTAGCAACTGCTCACTATGATTATGAATGTATTACAGATCATTTATTTTTTCTCAGGAATAAAATATAATAGGCTTTTTGCAGTGGCAAAGCATGTGATAGCACTGTATGGTACATTACATCAAATGTGTACTTAAATAGGTCTTAGATGGAGAATGGTAGTGCTACACGTTCATGGCAGAAAATTAATTAAAATCTGTATGTCAAGGAAGAGGGAAGAACACACAATAGGAGTTCTATACTCACAATAAAAGTGAGGTAATGTTTGATGAAACATTTCCAAAAAACGGAAAAACAGCCAGGTCGTTGTGGTTCATGGTGCTGAAATGAAATTACACACAATATTGAAATCATAATGGTCAAAGTGAACTGACCTCTCTAATAGGAATGAAAAAAAAACAATAAGGACAACCTCTAAATCCTTACATCACTTTAATTCAAGATAACCAAGGATAAACACAAAATTTAAACTGAAGAGTTTGACAACAAAGTTAACATAATTTAAAAGCAGTAACAGTAATAAAGAAGCTAAAATGTTTTTTTTTTTAAATAGACAACATTAATTATCGGTTAGTTTAGAGGGAAATTAATTCAAACTGAAAAAACTAAAAACATATTTGTATACAACAGCCCTTGAGAGGGTTCTTTCAATTAAAATGCATTTACATCTTCATGATCAATTATGAAGGTTTTTGTATCAAAACAGAGCAGAGGATTTAGTTGAAACACGCTTCTGACAAAATCTGCTTGTGTACTTACACTTGAGTTATCCCATCTGGCACGTCCAGGGGGGCAGCGGTCAGTCTTTTCCTGTTGCAATCCAAAATATGGACCTCATCTTGTCCTTTCGCGCAGGAGCAGGCAGCAGGACAAGAGTCTGTGACCCAGGCACTGAAACTCAGTAGCAGGACAAGAGATGGAAGAATGGGCCAACCTTCCGCCATTTTAAATGTCCTCCTACTGAGAGGTAGCTACGTGGCTAACAGACCGTTTCAAATGGCACTTTCAAGAGCTACAAAAGCAACAAACTATCCGAGGCGTTCTATTTCAGTCTAATTAACACATAATTCAGCTTCACAGCGTCATAAACCCAGCATAAATTGTGTAATCCAATTTTATCCAACTTGCGTGAAGCATAGTAGCTGAGATTTGTTCCCTTCTTCGAATAGCCTGGAATTCGTCCTGCTCCAATCAGGACAGCCTCACCGCCAGGCTAACCAGCTAACTGCTAAACTGGTTTGACCCCAAAAATACAACACTTCCCGAAAAACGAAATAACCTAAAATAAATGCTCTGACGGCTTCTGGTTGCAGACAACAACGGAAACGTTAAAAGCATATTTTTTTCTATAAATTATAATAATGTTTTTGGAACCCTGTCCCAAAAGAAAAACAATGCGCCGCAAACTGATGACAAAGGATAGCAAAGATCCCGCCCCATTCCAGCATGTTGACAAACACGCTATTGGTCAATGGTCAAGTACGTCAAAGAATTTCAACGATTTGATTGGGTGAAGTCTAACTGAGTTAAAGTGGCGACCTTCCCAGTTCTATGAGGAAAAAAGTTTGGCAATAGAGCGTTAGCAAAAACAGTAATATTTTTTGACGGTATTACATGTAGCATCTCTAACCTGCAATTTTTTTATATTTATATTTTCAGAAACAAATCTTTACAATTATAGTATAGTTTTCTCGCTATTACATAATAATAATAATAATAATAATAATAATAATAATAATAATAATAATAATAATAATAATAATAACAATAATAATCATCGTCATCATCTTAATTGTAATTATAATAATGTAATGTTTAAAAAGGTTGTACTTGCACATGTTTAGTTTTGTTTATAGGATAAAGAAACAAGGTTTTACACAGCACATCAAAAATAACTACAGTGAAATAAGACAATGCAAAAATCCAAAATAAACCAAGGTCAGCAATTACTTGAAGAAATAAAAACATGACAATTTTATGCAGCAATTGTATAGGGCATATTTAACCCTATCTGTTGCATGTTTCATTGCTGCTTCTGTTTCACAAAGATAAAATAAAAGATTAGGATGGGTTTCCATGCTATTATGACTTCTGTTGGTATTAAAATATTGACTGTAGTCACTTTTAAACAGCTGTTGGTCTGGCAGCATTTTTCCATCATGCATAATTGTTCCTGAAAGTTTTAAAACAAAACGAGACAAAAAGCCAAACCTTAATTTTCAAAAGGGAGAGAAGCTATTATTATTTCGTCCTCAACCCTTTAATGCAAGCACATTCTTGATCTCACAAATGACTTTAACTTTTGTCCAAGTCTATTATTGTTTGTTTGCTCAAAACAAGTTGGATGTATTTTTATCCATCAGTAATCTGTGATCAGAATCATTGTGTTAGAACGGGAGCTGGGTGTGATTATTTAAACCTGACTGCTCCTCTTCAGCATAGCTTGGTGTTTGTGAGCCCAGCCGCACTGATGAAGCTTGGTAAAGCCCTGCTGTCTACTTTCATCATGTTTTGTCAATTCTGCTTCATTGAAAGGGGCCCAATACGTGTAACTCTTTATAGTGAAAGAGAGTATAGTGAGGGGAGTATCTATGAATTAAATGAAACCCAAATAAGGGCAAATGTTTGATTTTTAAATAAATTCTGTTTATAGAGATTTATGCTGAGTCGGCATGTGTAGATATTTTACATGTTTGTGTTATTCAGGGTGTGCTTTGAACTAGCCTACGCCTTAAAAATGAGGTGTGGGCTGAACACTCACAAACCAATAGGCAGTCAGTCTCACCTTTACTTTTGGAAGAGTAGCATATTCTAAGAATTGTAGTCCATTGCCAATTACAATGAATATTTAATAGGCTTCAAACACAGTTGGTACCTCCTCTCTCTTATATATCCACTTCCCATAAGCAGAGCAGCCAGTTCTTTCATCACTGCATTCCTTTGAGCCAGAGAACTTGGTAGCCAAACATGTTCCAAACTGATTCAGCGTCCAGTTTTCCAGCTTTTGTCCACAAGAGAAGAGGAGAAGCGGAATATCACCGAACATGCCGTCTGGACACAAACAATCCACAGAGCGTCCTGCATGTCGTTGGCACATCTTTAAAGGCGAATTTGAACAGGTAAACCGACTTGATGTTAATTAGCGAAATAGATTAATTAACTGTGGGAATAAGAACTATGTGCTTCACATCTAGGTGCCTGTGTTAATTTGCATATAACTCCGCCAGTTTGCTTCAAAGTGCAACACTTGTTAGCGCGTGTTTTATCCGACCGAAAGAGAGCCTGAACTGAAAGGCGAGACAACAGAGCTTAGTCCGGTTACTTGTTATAAAAGGTGTCAATATGACACCTTTTATAACAACAAAGTTCATCCAGCTTTTTTCTAGCTGGATGAACTTCATTGCGACTTTTAAAGGTTTTTTTTTTTTTTTTTTTTATCAGCGCAACATACTGGTAAGCGATAAAGAGTTTGGACTTAGAGAAGGGCAGGGGTGACTATATTCTGACCAATCACCAGTTGTAACTCCAGTTGTAACTGCTGACTTAGTCGAGCTTTCCTCTCCGCAACCTGCTGACCCGTTTGCGCTTTCTTGTACCCGAGCTGTATCAGCGCCTTTGAGAGCCGAGAGGGTTGCACACATGGGTCATCGACGGACTCTCCGAGTAGATTATGATAAATCGACAAACGTAGTGTGCGTTGTCGGCTCGGAACTCAACGTAAACTTAGACAGGTAGGCTTCTCTCTGCAGCCAACCATTCGCCTGCAAGGTGTGCACCGTTTGTTAAAGATCCAGCATTTGATACAGGCTCACACTTTCCGTCTCTCTTGTTTGACTCATTATTGCAGCTGCTACAGGAAATAATGTTAGGCAATGAAACGATGTGTTTTTTTTAAGTCCGGCCACCTTGTAGGTTCTTTATTGTGTTCCAAGCTGTTCTGATGGGTATTTTCTTGCAACACATTTGGTACAGTGATATAATATTGTACTTACCAAAATACTTTCAGATTTAAGCCTCAGATGAAACCCTTTCTCAAAAGCAAAGATAAGGGTTTAAGATAGAAAACATGTCTGATAGCTCCCTGATAATTCTTTTCACATTTTGGGTTGTGATATTTTTTAACAAAAGTATCTTAAAACATATTTTTATGTTTTGAAAACATAAAATTGTTTTTAAAACATTTACACTGACTGAAGTATTGTCATTTCAGTCAGTGTAAATGACTAAGCCATTTCGGTACAGTTACACCAAAATAAGGAACTCATTGTTAATTCACAGAAAAAAACATTTGTCTATGCACATGTTACAGGCAGAAATTGTGGGGTTTTCCTTTATTTTGGACAATACATAGACACAACAATTCTCTTTTGTTGCTTTGTACAGAAAACACTTTGTCTTTCTCCATAGAAAAGGGCCTACGCTCTGACAAATGTCAGCCTGCTGTGCATAACAGAACCAGGCTCTAACACGTGGTGTAATATGTCCAGGGCTCTTAGGGGGTTTCAAATTGGACTCAACACAATCTTTTGCATATCTTGTGACAGGACACCTGTTGAGTTGATTACTGGATACTGATTCATCATGATATTTGCAAGTAATTCTATTCATAGTTTGGATAAATTCCATGTTTCCAAGGCATATTTTATTTTTATCTATTAATAAAAAACATTGCTGTAATTTGGATGACTGATGTGCTGAATGTATACACACATTCATCTTTGTGGTTGTTGTTCTTAGAACCTACTACCCCCCATTTTGCTGACTTAACTGCACACACCTACTCACAAGGTGTAAATAGCTTCAGCTGGCAAATCCATCACAGAGCACAGATGAGTGTAGGCGTGGTCTGAGTGGCTTTGACTTTGGCTCACAAAATTTTGTTGTGATCTTAAACTGAAGCTAACATGAAAAGTCTATATAACAATAGTGAGTCTTTTATTGTTAAAAACAACTCAGATTGACACGTCAACATTTTTAAAACCTCATTTGAGTTAAGTGAAACAGTAAATGCTAATATAGTCATAGGTGCTATGATATGTAGACATGTAAAAATATTCAGTTGTTCATTGTAACAGTTGCTTCTTGTTATTTTACTTTTTACACAAAGACTGATCTACTTCTTAGACTAATGAAAGTTCAAAATAAGCACATTATTACCTCTGCTGTCAGTTTGGTTTGTCATCTATTGAAACATGAGCAGGCTAAACATACACCAGTGTTCATCCTAAGTTGTGTTTACTCTATGACGTCAGTGGTGTTGGAAGCACTTTATTGTGCAAACTCAACATAATTATTTGCACAACCTTGTAATAGGGTCCTTACCACTCAAACTTTGCACATGTTATCAAGTTACAACCCCACAGAAAGCCATAAAGCAGTCTTGTATACAGTGAAACAAACCATGTGAGGGATAATTAAATTTGGCATTTGCTACTTAAAGCTAAAGAAAACATAACATTTGAAATTAAAATATTACATCAGATAAAAAAAAACTTTTTGAAAATGGAAATATGGATTTAATAAAAAATTTGTTTAATACCTGCTTAAAGGTGATATTTCCAAACTGTGAAACAAGACTCATCAAGACATATATTTTAATTTATTGAATGTGAAAGTAATTGCTTTTCAGGTTTCCTCTCCTGCGCACAATAATGCACAACATTGTATTTTCTACCATGTAAGGTACAATTGAGGTTGTGATTGTAACTTGACAAAATGGTTGAAAACTCAAGAAGTATCATTACTTTTGAAAAGCAATGTATTAGGCAAAACACCTGATGTTAAAATCTGCCATTCTGCCTTTCAGGAGCGCCCCTCCTGGCTCCAACTTCTTCTCAGTGAAGTGCACTGCCAATGTTAAATTCGAACTCAGCCCTCCACCTGGGGAGTCATCCCATCGGGCCCTGGTACCCCTCTGTGGAAACTCAGTCATACTCATCAGCATGAGCCATGCCAGCCAATCTGAAAAAGATGATAAGGTAAACTGGATAGTCATAAAAATACAGCCTTTAATCACAGCCTTTAATCCAACACAAGTTTTTTAATACTGATAGATCTCATCAATGCAACATTGTCAAATATTCCTGCAGCTTTTGCTAGTAAACTCTTTACATTTGTCTTCCATAAGTAAACATTTGTTCATTTATATAAAGCTGTCTGTCCGCTATTATGGAAGTGGAAGTACCAGGAAGGTTTTGGGGACAGCAGTTCTGCATCTTACTGCCATTGGTAAGTTTTATTTGACTGAATAACACACTTTTGTCATGATGCTGATGATGTCTCCGCATATAGACTCTGCATATGTATAGGAGGCAGCAAGTTTGATGCAAAATTAAGATTTAAGAAATGGAAGATTAACTTACAAAACAAGAACAAAGGCAACAGAGTGCGACGGAAGAAACCAGTGGTGAATACTGAGTCTGTGAAGGAATAATTGGGAAAACTAACCATAGGTGGAAATTCTAAATTTTCTCCATCAGCCACAGTGGCTGTAATTATGTAATTAGTAATTATGGCATTTCCATTAAATAACAACCAAAATTAAAATCACACAAGAATAAGTTTGTTCACCCATTGAATCATTAAAAATCATGCTGCACCATGATCCTAAAGCTACTTCCTGTCATCTTCTTCTTCGTGGGTTGTGCCGGTAGTAACTTCCAGTTTTTGATCATGTGACTTGTGTAACAGAAAAAAAGTGTTCTGGTTGCATTTTGCAAAATAAACCAAGCTTGATAGGGCTAAAAATCCTCTCATCCAAGCAGTTTAATGCTTAATCAAAAAACATGTTTTTTTGGGGGGAATTGCTGTCTTTCCATTATGGAAATTTATTTCTGAAATTATATAGTCAACTGACAGAGTTGAAACTAATAGAGAACTTAATAACAGAAATGAATACTAGCGCTAACAAATCCAATGTTGAACAAAGGTAATTGCACTAACAGAGGGAATAAACTAGAACAAGGAAAAATAATATTAAGAAATGAATACAAGGAAATAACTGAAGATTAGAGTCCAAAACAAGGGATCATGGCAACCACTTATCAATGTTCAGCCAATTGATTTGTTAGTTTAATTTTATCAGATCGTCAGTGATTAAAAGTAGGATCAAAGTCTAAACATTATTTTGCACTGGAAAAGGGACCACTGAAGCAATACATGCACTGTGCTTGAGCCTTTGCATGAAACATGCAAGCCTATGCAAAAGCACTATGCGATAAGCAAGATGTGTTTGTCTCCCAGAGATCTCTCTTGACGTGGATGCTGACAGAGATGGCATTGTGGAGAAAAACAACCCGCACAAGGTAAAACATAAAATGTTATTGATTACAATAAAAATATTACTCACTTATCATCAAGAAGAGCTTTAGTCAAGAAATAAAATGTATGACTCATGTGACAATGCTGATGTCACCATGTGTCACATGAGTCATACATAAAGTTTTGCATGCTGGCAGTTTGATCAGTTTAGGGTGTTAATGTACTGTGCATGATATTTATGCATAGTACAAGCTTGAACATGCTGCAGCAGAGACACTTGTTTTTCTTCTTCTATTTTGCACATTTTTTTTTATAAATAGAGGCAAGCTGAATGAATGCTGTCTAAACATGTTTTCCACATTCCACACTGTATTAGTCCAATTCACCCTCAAGTAGTGATCCTAAGTTTAGTTCTCACTGTGAAAATTTTTATGAATTCCTGTGGATATATTTTCACAAATTGAACAAAGACAACACAACTAAAAATAAAGCAGTTATCAGTTATTTATTAATCTTTTTTAATATGAAATCCCTTTTCCAGCTCCTTGTGTCATGTGTAAGGATCATCTGGCATTTGCAGCATGTAAATGAGCTTGGTTTGCTCATTTACATCTCTTTAATTTTCTCCTTTAATCTGTGTTTGCAGAAATTCAATTTTAATCTAGCCAAATTCTCATTATTGTTTTTGTCAGAATGCAAAGCAACGGCAAGTTCATATCCCATTAGCCAGAACTATGCATGGACTCACCTTCATACATACACAAAAGCAGAACAGTGATCAGACTCAATGGCTCATGACTCTCTTTCTGCATAATCAAGCTTAAGCTTGTCTTGAAAGTCTTTAGTTTAAATCTTTGATCAGTCCCAGATGGAACATTGTTTAACAACACAAGGGCAAGCAGCACACAGTAAATATTCTCCATAATAAATGTTACTTTTGAACACATGTTCTTGCATAACTTAAATCCCTGTATTAAAAAGTAAAAATTCTTTACAGAACTTGCTTTATAGAGATTTTAGACTTTTAATGTCTGCATTGGACATTTTTGGTTTGTTGAAAATCTCTTAGGAATCATGGGCATGGGGTCCCAATGGGCATGGAGCTATCCTGCTGGTCAACTGTGATTCAGAAAAGACATACAACAAGTCACTAGACAGTGAGGATCCCCGCATAGTCAAAGTGGCAGGTAAAACCGTATTGGTCCAGAGGAGTATTTACTATGAACATGTTTTCATTCTGTTGTTTCCCCGCTGTATGAAAAGTGCTCTCCTGTGTGCAAATGTTATAAATCTGTGTATTTGAAAGAACTTATCAAGTTTTAGAAGATGAACTAAAAATTGTTACAAATTTTGTGCTTTGCATTGTGTCTAAATTCAGTCTTTACTAATGATTCAAACTTTATAGCTTTGAAAGTAATTGTTAAAATTTCCAGGAGAGCACTATGTTGTGCATTCTGGTCTGAACTTCTCCAAATTGGATCAGATGGACTACAATTTTTTCGTCTTTGTCCATGCTTTCTCAATAGCAACTTTAAATTAAAGCACATGGAATGTTTAAACTCCCATGATATTTATCCACAAACATTTTACTATTAATTAAATATTACAAAAAGGTTTCAATTTAACAATAAATTACCATAGGTTGTCTTATACCCCAGATGTTGTCCTTTTAAAAAATTTTCTCAGCCAGAATTGATCAGTTCTCATTTATATTTATTAAATGCACCATTATTAGAAGTGACTCTGAGAATACATTTGAGGAGTTTCTATTGTTTGATTCTATTTTTTGGAAAACAGCAGCTTTGTTGAGTTTGATGGTTCATGTTGAGGTATGTGAGGGAGAATTCTTGTAACGCAAGAATTGGAAAAAGATTGTCTAAAAGGAGATTACATGCCATTGAATCCGAGAAGACAAAAATCTAAAATTAAAAGTTGTTGTCCTTACAGTTAAACTTCTTTACTATTAGTCCATTACTGAAAGTTTTCCTCACCACTAGAAAGAGACAAGTTGAATGTGTTAATGGGACTTCTTGTATATGTATAGATCTTAAGGACATGTCACTCATGGTGCTGCGGACCAGAGGACCTCCTGAACTCCCAGAAGGCTACAAACTCACCATGCACATCTCTCAGGGAGACGCAGAGAGTGTTCGAGTCTTCAGAGCTGCATCCCATGAAGTGGTTAAGAACAGCCTGCGTGAGTAAAACTGAAGATATAAAGGGCAACAGATGATGTAATAAAAATGCAATTCAGCTACTGTTTTATGACTGTACACTGTTAAGCATTTTACTTAAATCACTTATTATACAATTTATAATTATAATATGTTTTTCTGCAGACAAAATTTTTAGTTCTTTTGTAAAGGACTATCCATTGGTGCTAAGCAGTGAGGTGCTGTCCCAGGAAGTGCCTTATCTTGGAGGCTCAGCGGAAATGAACTTCTATGTGGAGGGTCTGAGGTTTCCTGACAAGGACTTTGATGGGCTCATCACCATCAACCTTAGCTTACTGCAGCCAGTGAAAGAGGTAAGATCAGCAAAGTAGCACCTTAATTTTACACCTTTACATTGATTTCCATGTTAAAACAACAAACAACAATATTTTTCTATCGAATTACAATACCCTCGGTAGACATTGAGAGGCTATTATGCTATTGTGAAGTGGAATGAAATGAAAATCACATCTGTCAATCACTCAAGCAGTTTGAGACATACTTTTATACTAATTTAAAAAAAAAGCGCTTTAGATTGTATGGGGCGCATCTATGAGAATTAGATTTCCAGCTGTGCTATGGACTCAAGTGGAATTTGGACTGTTTGACTGGGTCATTCTAACACATGAATATGTTTAATTTTAAACTATTTATTTGTAATTCTTTGTATGTATGGCTACTGTCTTGTTAGATAGGTAATCTTAGTCATCAACCAAAGAACTTTTTGTGGAGTCATCCATCTTCCTTTTTAGCTCTGACCAACTTAACTTCTACGGAAAGATGAGTCCACAATGCTGATGCCACCATGTGTCACATGAGTCATACATAAAGTTTTGCATGCTGGACAGAAAGTACATCTTCCTAGAACATGGTTTTCCTCATGTTTGCTCTTTCTCACTACTTGGTTCAAGTCAAAATTGTAATTTGCAGTAAAAGCAGACCATGGTGGGAGTTAAAACATTATATATTCATCAGCTTGTTTTTTTTCTTTTAAAGGGCATTCCTGAGACACCCATTTTCACAGACAAAGTGGTGTTCAGAGTGTCACCATGGATCATGACACCCAACACCCTCCAGCCTGTGGAGGTGTTTGTCTGCAGGTAAAAGGGAGCTAATGAATAATCAATATGTTTCTGAAGTTATTTATCTTGCACTTTCTCATGCTGTGCAAAGTCATCTTTGTAATTTCTGACAACTGTTTTATGGCTTTCTGCAATCATCTATTTTTATATCAAACAATCAACTGTTTAACATTTCAAAAGTTACCCTTTCATAATGGAAAAATATTTCCATTATGAAGACGTGATTGACAAGAAAACACGTCTGTCTGTGGTTTCAGTACGTCTGATAACTACCAGTTCCTCAAAGGAATGAAGACTCTTGTTGCACGTTGTGGGTACAAGCTGAAGATCTGCCATGAATACCTGAACAGAGGAGATCGCTGGATGCAAGTAACGAAACTTCTTTGACATATGCCAAACATTTTTTTACTTGATTTTCAGGGAAGGTTTTCTTTACTTATGCTGCTCGTTTAATCATGTCAATGTGCTTGAAGACTTTTTGTCAAAAATATAGTTTTAATATCAAAAGGATTTAGACAAATAGTCAAACAACTTTCTTTGACTATTGTCTTTCTGAGACCCACAAAGATAAATAGTTTTTTTTTTGTTTGTTTTTGTTTTTCAGGATGAACTGGAATTTGGTTACATTGATTCACCCCATCACTCTTTTCCTGTGGTTTTGGATTCCCCCAGAGATGGAGATCTTGATGACTTTCCTTATGATGAACTACTGGTAGGAGTATCTGTTTTCTCTTAAGAATAAAGTTCTTTTGAAAATATTTAACATCCTATCACATCCTGAGCCACTCATCAAGATAACGTGTTTTCTGTTGTGAATATCAAATGTTAAATACAGTTTTACTTGTGTAAAACTTAACTCTGTAAATAACTTCCAAAAATAAAATCAAAATGTTTACAAATTAATTATTTCTAACATATCCTAAAACAGAGATGGAAGCCCTAGTGTACATGTTTATCACCTTGTAGAACAGGTTACAGTAAAGTACGTTTAAGATGTTCAGAAGGTTGCTCTTTTCTAAACTACTGAGGAACAATGAAAGGCATGTCTAAATCTAAATTCAACAAATTTTTAGGAAAGCTGTTGTACATTTGTAGCGCAGAACATTCATACAGTTTCATCCTCAGGGCCCTGACTTTGGGTATGTGACCAGAGTGGCTTGCAGAAAAGATGTGAGCAGCCTGGACTCGTTCGGTAATCTGGAGGTCAGCCCTCCCGTCACAGTGAATGGAAAAAAATACCCTCTGGGCAGAATCCTCATTGGGGTTGCCTTCCCAACGTAAGTAACAATTACAAACCTAAAGAGTTTATCAATCAAATTATAAATGATCAAGGGCCTCATGTATAAACATGTGCAACTTCAGTGAATGTTTGTACGTGGGAGAAGTTCTGAAACTTGTGGTGCAAAAAAAAAAAAAATCAAATAATTTTTGAAAGCGTGTGTGGACAAGTCACAGCAGACATTGCCTCCATGAATTCAATTTGCATTGTATTGGATGCAACTGCGTTGTGACATTTCTCATGTATAAACACGTACAACTTCAGTGAAGTTTTGTATGTGGGAAAAGCTCTGAAACTTGTGGTGCAAAAAAAACAAACAAAAAATGAAATACATAAAAACGTGTGTGGACAAGTCACAGCAGACGTTGCCTCTATGAATTCAATTTTTATTGTATTGGGATGCAGCTGCGCTAGTGACATTTCTCTGCACCTGAATATGTTTACAAATTAGTATAGATCAAGATCTGTGGTCTCCCAACACATGTCTGAATGACCATGACAACAGCTTTGGATTCAGTTTGTTACCAACTACAACCAATAATAATAATATTCTTTATTTAAAAGGCACATAGTTACATCTACATATGACAAGAGAAATGACTAGTAACATTTGAAGTGATGTTTTCCAATAATTTTATTCTTATTTATTTGCATAATTGTGTGTTATCTCTTTGAAGATACTGTGGTTCAGTATCATCATTTAAGTTTAAACTATGAAAGTTTCAAATTAAGAACACATTGGGATTCTCCTTGGATTAAATAACACTGAATGTAGTCACATATCAGTGTACATTGTTGAGTTTTGGTGGGAGGTAGTTTATTATTGTCCACTGAAAGAGTTTATGTGGCTACTGCACATTTCACAGCAGGTAAACAGTTTGCAAATATATTAATGCACATTTATTTTTATACATCCCAATTTGTGTGTAAAATATTGTGCTGCATCTTTTTTGTGCATACACTGCATTTATACATGAGGCCTAATAAGAATTTATGTCAAGACTTGTTGTTTTCTTTTTTTCTACAGGGCAACAAAGGGAAGAAACATGACCAAAGTGGTTCAAGACTTTTTGTGGGCTCAGAAGGTTCAGGAGCCTGTTGCCTTGTTTTCTGACTGGCTCTGTGTTGGTCACATCGATGAATTCATGACCTTTGTTCCGGCTCCCGACAGAAAGGTAGTCGTTAGTTAAGCTCAAATCCAATAAGACAAGAAAAGTATAAATTGTGATTATACTGTACTCTGGTATCAATTCTGGGAAGATAAAAAAAACATATTATTTTCCACCTGTAGATGTGTTGATGATGACGGTTGTATAAATGCTGCTGTGTAACATCTCTAGTCAAGCTTCATGGTGGAAGAAATACATGGTAGCAAAATGCTTCCACTCCGTACAGATATACAGCCTATTGGCTTCAAGGATTCAGATTCTTCCTTTACTTCGTCACTATCACTGGTTGACTCTGCCAAGCTCTTTTTTTCCAGTATTGTGTAATCTCTTTGGATATGAGAGCTCCAGTGTTATCTTTGTCTTTTGTGTTCATGTTGACAGGGCTTTCGCCTGCTGCTGGCCAGCCCAGACGCAGGCTACAAATTATTCAGAGGACTTCATAATGATGGGCATGGACAAGCCAAGATGTTTGATGGTATAGTTGGCGAGTTATTAGCAGATATATAGAAAACTGATAGGTAAAATGTAGAGTAACAGAACTAAAAATTGTAATTATTTCATAAGGTGTGAAAAATGAGGTGCATGTGACAGTGGATGATATCTTGAGGGATGAAAATCTACGAGATGAAAATAACTACGTCCAGGTGAGTGGGTTTCCTAAATGCAGGAAAGTTTTTTGTGACAGGTAAGTTTTTAAACCATTTCAAAGGATTTTTCTAATGGAACAATTATTTTTTTAAAATCACAGTGGAAAGATTACATGTTCATTTATGTGCTTTAAGCTAAGGCTATAGTTTGCAGAGAGATTATAGAAAATTAAATGCAGGCCTCTGTATGATGATGTCAGTCTGGAAAAGTGTACAAAATGTCCAGAGCATTTTATGTACACCTTGACAAAGAACAAGCAGGCATCAACAACTGAAAAGATAGATCAATGATTTAACTAAATTGGTCAGGATTAGATTGTTTGATAAAAATCAAAGACATTTTTATTTTTCAGCATCAAAGTCAGTCTAAGCATGTCACCTTCAAATCATTAAAAAATACTTTTAGAACTAAATCTAAATATATTGCCCATCTGTAGAGGACTGTGGAGGGAAAGTCAAGATAATGGCTATTAATATACTCCTACCAGAGAATTTGGATGCTGAAATTTAATTAAATTTTCTGACAAAGGGATAGATTGAAGTCTTAACACTTATGTAATGAGATTTCTTTTCATTGTCTATATAAATTTAGTTGATGAAGAAAATTAACTAAGTTTGTGGCTTCCGGTAAATTCTCCCTCTGCTTTTAATAAATTACATTGGCCACCATCTGTTCTGTCCCCACGTGGTCTTTGTTGATCAAGACCTGAGAAACAGATCTCATAACTTTCAGTTTAATCTTATCCACCTCAAAGTTTCTTGCGTGTTGTTAAATTAATGTTCACATGTAAATGTTTATAGCTCTGTACAATTCAGACATTTATCAAAATAGCATCATTAAAACTTGGTAACCTATAACTGAGCATCACAGATGACAAAGATAAGATTGTTTTTTATGATAAATTCATATTTGTATGTCTTCTGATGGGGTTTGCCATGTGCTTAAAGGATTAATAATTTTTCACATCTGCTCATTATGCCCCGTAGTGAGCATCAAATAATACTGCATGGTTATTGTCTTTTCTTTGCAACCTGCTTTTAACAGAGCTGCATTGACTGGAACAGGGATGTTCTGAAAAGAGAGCTGGGCCTGGATGACGATGACATTATTGACCTCCCAATTCTTTTTAAGCTGGATGACGAGGATGGCTCCAGAGCAGTGGCTTACTACCCTGATATGGTTTGTTTTAATAATTTCTTTTGATTTAAGATGAACAAAAAAATTGAAATTGATTTTATAATAACTACCCTTCAACAGATTGCTTCCTTTTGGCAAATTATGTTTTTGTTGCAGATGAAATTAAATGTATCCAAACCAACACTGACTCCTAACCCCTGAAATGGTCAATCTGATAACTTGCTTGGACTATTTTTCTTATCTGATCTTAGATTATCTTTGGATTATGATGTGTTGGATTTTAAGATATTTTAATTTGTTTTATGTTGTCATGTTCTATTTACATTTTTTTTTCTACAACTCTCGGTGTAAGGCTTGGGGTTTAGCAACAGTTTGCTACATTAAAAAAACTATTCTAGTAAGTTTATGATCTAACAAAAAGTAGCATTTAAAGTTTATTTTATAAAAGGTCAGGTTGGTTTGGATATCTTTACTTTTTAAAAAATGAAGTCATCATTTGAAAATTGCCTTTGTTATGTATTCAGGTTATCTTAATGCAAGTGTGGACAACATTTTTCATTTTGAAACATGCAGAAACAGAGGACACTTGCTGAGGGCCTACATACTTTTTCACTACACTATAATTATGAGCTAATTTCAGGGCTTCATGTTGATATCAATTTCCAGGTCAACATGATCGTTTTGGGGAAAAACCTCGGCATTCCAAAGCCGTTTGGCCCCAAGGTGAATGGACGCTGTGCCCTGGAGACCGAGATGTGCTCCCTGATGGAGGGTCTGGGCCTCAACTGCACCTTCATTGACGACTTCGCCTCCTACCACAAACTGCTGGGAGAGGTGCACTGTGGCTCCAATGTCCTCAGAAAGCCTTTTGACTTCAAATGGTGGAACCTTGAGCTGTGAATTAAAACCTAAAAAAGGTCAAAGCTACAATCCTTAAGGATTCAGTTCAGCAAATATTCTACAATATCACAGGTTAGACTTCTTTAAATGACAATTATTCTTCTTATAACACCATTTTGATCAAATTTCAACAATCAAATTAAAAGCAATTCCTTGTTTCAACACTTGAATCAGTCATGCATTTATGTCAATCTGCATTTAAGAGATAAATCTGACACAGTGTATAAAGAGTGAATAGTAATCAGCAAAGCTACACACCATGCACACCGCTTTTCCTGTGAATTATTTTAAGAGAAAAATCTTTTTTTTTTCCTGTCAGTCATAGTGTGCGTGGAAGCAATTACTTAATAAGCTCCAACATGTACATGGAGCCAATGAAGGTGCCAAATTTTCAAGTGGCATAAAATGGCTTTGTCTGTAGAATTATTACCTAAAACACATGGGGTTCAAAAAGTTCCACAAATCAGTAAATTAAATTTGTCGGTAAACATATACATAATGTGATAAATTAAATACATGCAATTTATTGAATGCACCAATGATTTAAAAAGAACAAAATGTACTTTTAATTTGCTCATCTTAAAGCATTTAGAATTATCTCAGTGGTTTATTGGATTTCATTGTCTAATAATTGCCATCATGAATTAATTTTATCTGTCAAATTTACATTTTATAGACTGCTCTACCCAAGTTGTCAGTTTAAATTATTTCACGATGTACTGCAGCTTATATGACACACAAAATAAAGTTAAACTAAAATGATTGTAGATGATTTTATCACAGGCTTACAGTAACATTTATATACGCCTCTGATGTTAGTTTTATTTAAATTATCACATTTGGTGTACATTTATTTGACAAATTTATTTGGACTTTATCATTTTTGAACAATAGGAAGTATACTGTTTGTTATCTGTTTAGAACATCTGCTGCCAGGTTGCTAAATAACTTTCTTCTCTTACCAGATAGTTTCATAATAGTATCTCACTATCGTAACAATCAGCACTGAGAATAAATTACTCTGGGGCTCGTGGTGTTCATTTTTATTAAACCTTCTTGATTCCATTTACAAAAAAAGATGAAAAGCAATATTTACAAACAAGTTGTTTTTTTTTTAACAAGGGTTTAAGCCAACAGTTGATGAGAACAGAAATAGAATAATTTGAATTAAGCACAGCAAATTTCTTTCTATGTTTTTGTGGCCGATATACACTGGTATACAGTGCAAACACGTACACTCGAATGATGGTACCACATATAATATGCAATAACAATATCGAGCCACAAGAGGGCAGGCGTTACCTACTCCAGTCTTTTCAATATCCAAGTTTTTTTTCTTAAAGATCTGCTTAAAGGATATTTTTGCATTATATTTACTAGTTTTTATCATTTATTTTTCTATGCCACTTTATTTTTGTCACTATAAAGAGCCTTAATGAATACATTATATGCTTTGCTTCTGTCTTAAAATTCTTTTTTCTTTGTATGCAATATAAATGCTTCCATCTAACTACATAATAAATATATTCTGAAAATTTACTGAAATAAATTGTCTCAACTGTCTCTCCCTTTTTAATTAAACTAATTTCTAGTTAGTTTTACATTCATCTGGCAACATAGTGCCTTTAAATATGACCTTCCCACAGAGCAGCTCTTGTGACACAATTAAAAAGGCAACTTCAAGACAAATCACAGTGTGATCAATTCTCAGCAACCAACCAAGGCTTTTCAAAAAGGTCAGCATTTTAAAAACAACTGAAATGTAGTGCTTACAGTAGGTCACAGTTATTTATATATATTACACTTTACAAATAAGGATGGGTACAGTGACATTTGGCTTACTGTCAGCATTGTGCATTGCATCTGGAGATGTTGGCTGGTTCAGGATAAAACACAAATTACAAGGATAATCCCTTTGTGTGAATTGTGTCGGTTTGCAGAGAAAAAGAAGGGGGCTTTGGCAAGCAGACTTTCACCATGCACAGTAGCGTTGAATACACCTGTACACAGACATCAACAGTTGGTGTTTAACAAAGAGCATCTGGAGAGATTTTGCAACATATCTTGAAAATATTTTCCTATTTTTCTGACAATTTCACCATAGGTCTAACTTCACCCATAGTTTACAAAACAAGGGCAAGGAGACTTACAGAGCCACTAGTAATAGCATCAACCTCCTGCAGAAAACAAATATGCCAAGATTGTTGTACAGCACAACAAATAACAGCAGAAAACCTACAAAAGTAATGTCATTAAAACAGAACTTGGCCTGACATAAAGCCACAGTCACTTAGTACATTAAAGTTAAACTTATGTACATTGTCACAGTGGGATGTAAGTTAGACATCAATAAAAAGAAAAATGTAGTGCCCTCCTTACATATTTGTCACATTTAAATATTTTGAATCAAACGTATTTTAACAAAAGACAAAGATAACCCGAGTAAACACATAAAGTAATATTCAAATTATGATTTCAGTTAAGGGGAAAAGTGCCATCCAAACCAATGTGACTCTCAGTGAAAATAATATAATTGAGTCCCCCACAGTCTAAATCACAATCCAACTGCAACTGTCATATTTTTGGTTCAGGTTTCCTAACCACAATTAGACTCCATTACTGCCCAACTCTTGGAATTATCTTTCATGGAACCTATCTGACAACATGAAGTAGGCCAAAAGGCCTCAAACCAAATAAAACAAGTTGAAGAACATAATAGGCATGGATAGATGTCAAGTTATTAACATCTATCCATCTGGAAATGGCTACAGAACTAATTTAAATGCTTTTGGAATTCCAGCAAAACACAGTGAGAATTGTTCTCCGCAGCTTAAGAAAACACGAAACAATGAGATCAACACTTCTGAATGGCAAAAAAAAAAAAAAAAAAAAAAACCTTATTCAGATTTTACAGTGGTCTAGTCAAAGTCTAAACTAAAATTAATTTCAGATGTGACACCTAACTGGTCGCTCAAATTTAAAAACACCCCAATGTGGCTGAATTAAAGAAATTCAGAGTGGGACAAAATTCATCCACAGTAATGTAAAAGGCTGATTAAGTTGTTGGAAATACTTGATAGTGGTTGTTACTGCCATGGATTGCAAAACCAGTTATTAGTTTTAGGGGTAAATTATCTTTACATAGAGCCTAATTGGTTTGGATAAGATGAGATGTATTTTATACTTCAATAACTGAAATTATTTAAAAATTGTGATTTGCATCAAACCAGGGTAAATTTATTTGATCTAATATGTTTCAAATGATCTGAAATACAAATGACAAAAAAAATTTAAAAAGAGAGAAATTTGTAAGGAGGAAACTGCTTACAGTACTCTATACAAGCTTGACAAACCCAATCTGTTGGATTGTTGTGAATTTTCTCATTCTATCTTATTCACAAAAAAGACAGGTCTTTGATAGAAGAGCCACAATGTCTGAGAGTTTGTTTACAGTAACAATCAATGCTTACTGGCCTAAAGAATGGACAGGTGAGCAGATTTACTGTGCTGAGCCAGCTGCCAAAGGACAGTCAGTGTCACTGCTGCTTTCACTTGAGCACAAGGTTTTCCACATGGAGGACGGAATGAGGTCTAGAGGTCGATACATGTCCAGGCAGCTGGATGTCTGTCCTGATAAACAGCAGATCCGTGTAGAACAATCAAGGGAGGATCTGTCCATCGCTTGCTCAGCCCCTACATCATCTCTACATCAGCTTCGGACATCTCTTGCCCTTCTTCGGTTGTCTTTATCTCTTCTTTTATATGAAATAAGATCTCTAAGAAGAAAAGGGTGAAGGTGTAGAAAAAAAGGTGTAAGATAAATGAAACCAGGGTAAATTAGACATCAAAATGAATAATTTTGTATTCAAAGAAACTTTCTGAAGTGACAATTCCTCAGGCTTTCTGAAGGTCTTTAAATATTCCACTTTGCCAGCCTTTTCAGTTCTCTACCCCTTTCATTTTTTTCTGTTTATTTGTTAAGCCAATTAAATCTAATGAATGCATAATTTAAGCTTATGAAGGGAGCTAAGCATAAAGGATGGAACAGCATTCCATCTACAAATTAGATCAATTATAAAGAAACAGTATTAATGCGACCGTCAGATTGTCACAAAACACACTGCTTGTTCCCATATTTTAAATAAATCCATCAGAATATAATACAGAAATCTAGAACTTCCAAAGGTTTAACATAAAATATAGCATTCTAGAACCTGACAGGTGATTCCCAAAGTGTAATTAAAGAAAAACTTGGCAGACAAGAAGTAAGAAGAAATTATTGAAACTGCAGTCAAAATGATAATAATAAGAAAAATATGTCAAGAAGCCCAGGCAAGCAGGTTTTTAACAAAGTCTGACTGAAATAAACTGTAAAGACAGTTATTGTTCAGTACATTAAGACAAGCAATAAATATCAATGTGTCCAACCTTTAAATGGATGCCAACATGGTGATCAGAAGACAGCAGCTAACAGTTCTGCAAATCAACACAAAATGTTGATGAAGCTACATGGATCTCATGCTAGAATGTAGATATTTTAAAATCTACTCTATCTGGTTGATTTAAAAAGAAACCAGCAATATTCTGCAAGTGGAAGTTAACAATAACAATAACAGTAGCACTGGTTGGGAATATGTATCATTTGGATAAATGGTCATGAGATTTGAAAGTTCACATGGAAGCATAATCTCTTTAAACTTTAAAATATTGGACCTAACAAAATAGTTGCCAAAGACAAATATTGGCTGTAATGTAACAATATGAAGATGACCTTATTGGACAGCATATGAGCTTAATATCTGCATTTCTTCTGCATGTGACTTTCTGAAGCTTAAGCTGGGAGTTTAGGGTGTATCTAATGGAAATAATGACTTAAACAATATATGACTGTGCACATTAATTTCCCTGATGTGTGAAGCCATTACAATCTCATTTAGTGACTGATGTTCAGTAATTTCTCTCACCGACGACAGCTTCTGCTCCTGCTGGGGGCGCTCTGTCTTGGGCTGGCTGTCTGTCCCTTTTGGCTCCGACGTCTTCACCTCGTCTGCTTGCTGCTGAAGACGGGAAGCTGCTTGGAGGAAGGGGACAGATGTGTGGCTGTCATGAGTAATAAACTCAACCATACAATGCTGCCAGCTGTTCAGGCTGGAGACAAAGAGAGATTTGAGAAAATGCAAAGGATTGATAGGACAGAGTTAGCCATTAAAATATGTGGAGTGGAATCCTGACTAGTTTTGTGCTGCTAAACCTAAGTCATGTAAGCAGCCCACGAAGTTACATCAGATGAAGAAAACGTCTGTGCTCAAGTGCGCTTTGACAGAGAGCGTTCTTCTTTCTTTTGCCCAATGTTGATTCTCCCCTGATACATGACACAGTCTGTCTGCTTCTTACACCTGCAGGTTATCTCTGGCCTGATAGTATGAGCCAACATCTCGCAAACTCACCTGAAAAACGTCCTTGGCTGCAAGAACTGTCCTCCACGGCAGACCCATAAACAAACGAATCTTTTTTTACTGGAGTAACACAAGACACACTTTCCTGTGAAAAGATGTACAATTAGATTTTTATACTTTTTTTTAAGTAAACAGTAAATTTAATATGTAGCTTCATCCAAACTATAGGTTAACACCAGGTTTACATTTGCGTTAAAGCCTTTCCTAAGGCAGTCCATTGCAGTCCATTTTCAGGCCCGTCATTACTGGGATGTGATAAAATCTATTGAGCCTTTTCATGCTTTTTGTTTTTACTGTCCAGGTAATAGCTGCCGATTTAAAACTCTTGTTATTTCCCCCACAGCAAATATTAAACAAAAGTTAATGGAGTGAGTATAATCAGGGGAGAGATTCAAGTGTCTTTCTTTTCCCAAAGTGATTTTAATAATGTATGCACTTTCATAATGTGTTTATCAGTGTGCCAGCGTCTATACCCACCAGTCCAGTTTCATATTCCTCTTCGGCCTCATGCTCCTCCACAACGCTGGCGAAGCTGCTGGCGTTGGAGGAGGAGCGAGACAAGTCCTGAGCCTCGGGGATGGAAGGCGCTCTGCAACACATCGCCAGACTACACACCTGGGTTACTTTGATCATATTAACACCTGTCTCTTTTCACATATTTCACAAGCCTTCCTGTGTGTGTAACCTTAGCACGAAAGGAGATGGTTACCTGTTCTTTGAGGCTGCAAACTCTGGAGAACTGTGGGCGGAGGAGTTGCCTGATTTGTTTTCTTGTGACAAGTGGCTGCAGTCTGGAGTTTTCTGTGTGTTGGGAGAGACCTCTCGGCTGATGCAAAGAAGGGAAAATCAGGCCATGAAAACAAGGAATATAAGGAATGGTGTATTTTTGTAAATATATAGCTTTTAAGGCCTCTTACTACAACTGAAAAACTATGCACATAAAAATCTACAAATGAATTGCTACATTAAACTTTATTTGATCACAAAATGTAGCTTTGTTCAAATTTGCTTGTGGAATAGCAACAAATGCAGAGCCTTGCAAAGAAAATTTCCCTCCTGAATTTTTTCACATTTTCAAAATGCCTAAAAGCCAAGATTTGAAAAAGTGTGGAGTGAATTTGTATTCAGCTCTTGTTACTTTCCCACCTCTAAATAAAATCCAGAACCAACAACAGCCATCAGAAGTCACTTAATTAGGTGACCTCCAATGATGACCTAATTAGGTGTCCAGTGTGTGTCATGTACTCTCAGTCGAAAAGCAACAGTATTCTGAAGGCCTCGGAAGTTTGTTAGAAAGCATCAATGAGAAAATAGCATCAGGAAGACCAATGATCTCAAAAGACAGAGACACAGTTGTGGAAAAGTTGAAAGTGAGGTAAAGTGATAAAACAATATTTCAACAGTTTTACAAAAAATGTAGGTGTTAAGAGAATTAGAGAATTATGTCAAAAATTAAAGTATTTTACAACCAAAAGTCAAAAGAATTGACTCAGGGAAACTGAATACAAATGCACACCATCCTTTTCAGATTTTTATTTGTAAGACTTGTGAAAACCATGTATTACCATCTTTCACTTCAAACTTATACACTAAGGTTGTGATTGTAATGTAAGAAGATATATGAAAAAATTGTGGGTCTAACAACCATTTTGTAAGGTACAACAAACCATTGAGTGTCGAGCAAAAATTTGAATCTGAAAAATGAATTAATTAGTGTTCCTGCCTTCCATCTGTTGCAACAATGTTCTGTCCTCACTACCCACTCCCTGCTGTACTCTCACCTCCTTTCTTGGACCTCCTGGATGTTCTCGATGCCAATGGCACTGCTGCGGCGCGAGCTAAAAGGTCCAGACTTTTTTCTGGTTGGGCTTTTCCCAGGAATAATCAATGACTAACAGGGTGCAAAAGAAACAAAATAGTAAGAGACACATTTTGGAGGAAGTCATTGGTGCAAAGAACTCAACATACTGTGTGTACTGCAGCGTATATTGCAATGCTGTACTGTCGTGCAATTGAAGCAAATAAAATGCATCTACATGTATAAATATCCTGCTGACTATTTATGATCTGATGGTGATAAATGTTCATAGAGTATTGTTTAAAAAAACACACCAGGATTCAGACAACTGTGTTTAAAAGAAGTATTTCTTTCTAATTTGTTGAAAATCTACATAAGTGCATAAGAATATTGTCTTGTTTAGATGTCAATTTCATAAATATTAAAGTACAATATCCAAGCAAAACACCCCAAAAGCAGGAACAAAATTGTATATTTGTTCTATCTGAGTTCAGACACAAAGTTACAAATAAGGAAATTTAAGGACATTCAGGCTTCAAGCTTTGAGATAAAGCATCAAAGGGCAAAAACAAAATTTCCTTTCCTCGTGTCATTATTCATACATTTCTATCAGTCAAATTATGAAACACATCTGTTTTTACTACATGAATGAATGACTTAAATGAAATTGAAACATGTGGTTGCAAATCATTAAATGTAATATTAACAGGACCTCCCACAGTAACATAAAATAAAACACATTCTAATCTAAGTAACAAAAATATCTAATTGTTCCATGAAGATAACACACTAGAAATGCAAACAAATATGATAAACAGTAAGAGAGAAAATGCATGAACCTCTTCTATTGTTCCTATCCCTATGGCACTGCCTCGGCGTCCATATTTACTGGGACTTTTTCCCGCGACAAGCAATGACTGAGCCACACAAGATGGGGCAAAGGGAAGCAGAGAGGGAGAAAAAAGGGGAGATAAAAGATGGAAGCAAGAGAGAAAGAAAAGAAAGAACACATCATAAGATCTCATGCACAGAGCACAAAGAATTTCAACAGCAGGGAGCAAAACAACTTTAAAAGGAGCTTGCAGCATAACTTAAAAAACAAACCCGAGGAAAAGAAAATAGTGAAAAGCTTCACAGGGTTAAGGAAGTTTGAGGTCAAACATAGAAGTGCACAACAGGACGATCAGCACAGCAGGCATGCTGGCAGGTACTGCCCTAAAGGATCCAAGTTTGTTTACTGACGCATTAAGAGGAGGAGAAGGGGACAACTAGGGCTGACATTCCAAACAGGTACTATAACATCAAAAAGCTTCTCATAAATGGGGCAAAATTTGGAACATACAACATTGAAAGGAAACACAAACAGGGAAAGGTGTTCTTGAGTTTTATAAGTGCCATGCATATTCTCTAGCCACACATCCACAAAGTTGCATCAAGTGTTTGCAATGAAGAGACACTCATAATGAAAGCATTGCAACAAGGGAGGGAGTCTGGGTAGTCATACAGCTGCTAGTCTAAGTTCACTTCAAACCCTGAAAGAGGGACTCAAAAACAATCACTTCCTTTATCCCAAACTAGGCACTGTTTTATCCTAGCTAAAAGCCTGCCAATTTATGCTGCAACAACACTTTTTTGAAAAGAGGACAATGAATGCATAAAATCTTGTTTTATGTATTTTTCCTCTCCCCTAAACAGAAAAACAGGATAAACACAAACACCATGAGTCATAAATGGAAAGAGTCAATTACTGAAAGATGAGTACAAACCAAAAGTGATTATAAAATGTCAGAAATAAAAGTAAGTGCTTTGGTGTTAAGAACATACAGATGAGGTGCCAGTAAAGTACTTCAACACGCTGCTTTTGAGTTGAGACCCTTCTGAACTCGTGTTTATCCACTGTGCTGTGAAAACACCATGTCCTGAATGTGAGGTGCGTGTTCAGATGAGCGGCATGTCAACCAAAACGAGCTACTTACAATCCCTGGAGTTTTGGGGCTCTCTGCGGGATTATGGGTAAAGCTGCCACTGTGACTAGTGGAGACTGTGTGTGACTTCTTGTTACTGAGACCCATGGCGTCCATTGACTGGCTTCTGCTGCGGATGACCCGCTGCAGAGAGAATGAGGAGATATCCATAGTCAGTGGATCCACCTTCATGTCTCTATAAAGGGAATTTATACCGTATTGGTATCCCTTCTAAATATGTGTAAAAGCCTTAACAGATTTTTTTTTTTTTTTTTATGTTTGAAAATCTCATTCTGGAAAAATTAAGTATCTTCGAATACAAGACGGTCAGATTGTCTTGGAGTTTTAAATTTATAGCTTTCTGTTTTTCTTGGGTGTCCATATGATATGACAGAGATCAATTTCTCTTAGTCTTCAAAATGGGGAGGACGAGCAAACATGCTATTCAAATAGAGCAGAAGAATCAGCTGATGTTCAAAAATCCGTAACAGGACTTATGACACATGAAGTCATAAGTCAGTTCAGGCAAAGCTTGAACGCGCCCAAATCTTAAATCATTGTGATATTACAAAACAAAGCAAAGCAAAAAAAAAAAGTTAAAAATAAATAAAAAAATCTAGAGCTGCAACCACCAGTGGTTTCCTGGTACCAGAGCTGCAAACCAGTTGTTTGGAGCTTGCTAAACAACTGGGACTTAACTGGAATGATCTGGAGGAAGACGTATCATGATGTGGGGCAATTTCTCTTCTTTCTCAAAGGCAAGGAGAACATTTCAATAAAAACCTGATGACTTCTGGCAGAAAACTGAAAATGGACCATCACCAGATTGGTGCAGGAAGAATATTGATCAAAAACCTAATTCCATTAGAAAATCTCACATAAATGGTTGAATTTTTCCTATATTAATAATATTAAATATATAATATAAAATAATATTTTTATTTTAGTTTTTGGCAAATTAATTAATTAATTATAATTTATTCATGTCAGTTTGTTCAATTATTAACAAAACAGAGTTTATTAGATGTATTGCTAGATGTGATTAAATATAAATGTAATGAGGTGATTAAGAAAATGTAGTTTAAAGAACAAGTGTGTTAATATGTGTGTGGCAGGTGTGTTGTGTATGCAAGATTGCTTCTTAACTTTCATTGTTAGTGTAGATCAATGGACAATAGGAAGAACGCAAACTAAGGGTATGCTGCTTAAGAAAATGTTGCTTAAAAAGAAGATATATCTTCATTAAAATGATCTATTACCAGCTGAACATAGATGAGTCTGAAACATGAAGACGACTAAAACAAGGACTGCAAAAATTAAGAGAGAACAGGACAATGCAATCTACCCAGCTGTACGACAACAGAGACGAAGAAGAGTGGAAAATCTTTACAGATGTAACTTGCAAGGGTGGCAAAGACAAAGAGACAGCAAGTTAGTATTTGGCTACTTGGAAATAGAAAGGCAAGAGCACATTTTTAAGGAAGTCTATTGAAGAAAAACTGGTCGACAGAAATACTGAAAGCAGCTGAGACTGAAGTTGAAAAAAAAAAAGGTTAACGGAAGAAAAAGATTGATGGAATGCTGCCCATGGGGAGATGTGCAAATTGCACAATAAGCTGCGTAATGAAGGGTCATTAAATTGCTCATCAGCTATCACAATTCTTGCTGCCATGCCTCAGTAGCTGGGTGTTGCTTCACCACGGTCAGTGATGGAGAACTCTCGGTCAGAGCAAAGTGCCTTTTATACACAAGAGGACACTCCGCAGCCTCCAAAGCCACAATGCCATGTGAAAACCCACTGAGTTTAGCAGTCACAGCCAAGTGAGGACAGCAAAGGACTGGTCCTTTGAGATACTGCACATTTTGTATGCTTTGTTTCCTCATGTGTGAATACCCAGAATCCCAGCCAAGAGAAAGGACAGGACAAAAAGAAAAAGAAAAACATCCGAAAAGTTTTTCCACTCATCACCACTCTTGCCCATGCATGTGCAGTTGCAGATAGGCAGCACACCTAATCAATAAAAAACATAACACTGTACCTTAAAGGACTCGAAGAAGCCGCCCCCTCCACCACCACCTCCCCCTCCGTTCTCCAGCTTATCTTCGTCCCCACCCAGACCCATCATGGACTGGCTGTTAATGTGCAGCTCCTCATACAATGTTTCCAGCAGGGCTGAACGTGTTCGCTCCTGTCAACAAACAAATCCACTATCTTTTTAGTGACAGTACATCTACAAATTCACTTTGCAAGGCCGATGAAGCCAGTAGGTTGCAGATAGAAGCAGTTGGATGCTAGATTGCAGTCACGTGAATAAACACATTAAAATAAATGGAAAAAAAATGACAATGTTTTCTTAAATATTCCTCTCACCTCAAGCTTTGCAAACTTCTCAGCCTTGTAGCAGGCGTACTCCGCATTGATAAGCTTTGTGAAGAGGAACTCATGGAATTCAGGGCCCTGAGGATGAAAAATACAGAACATTTGGAGAAGAATAAAGGCAGTCATATGGGAAACAGATGTGTTTGTTTGGTTGCTGACCTTTCTGAAGATGGCAGGGTCAGGTAGAGCAGGTCCAAAGAAAGGTACATCATCTCTAGCTGTGACTGATACCTGAGCAAAAAACCGTGTTTATCAGATAACCACGAACATTTCATAATAGAAAATTGTCAATCTGTGAAACAAACCTTGTATGTAACATTATCTGAACATGCGTTCTCCACCTGCACCACAACATACGCATGCAAGAAGTTGGATTGGATCATGTCCGGTACAAAGGGAGTGTTTTCCTCCTGGAACACAATGGCTACAATATCGTTGCCTATGTGCCTCTTCCTCTGCAGCTGAAGTAGGGAGACATAAACACAGAAAGTTACCAACTTAAAAATATGCGATAACCAGTCCTAGTACTAAAAATAAAATTGTGCTAGAGAATCCTTCCCAGAACCTGCACTCAAATATTGTGTGAAGAAGAATTTGTCCAGGTCCCAAAAGAGTTGAGTGTCACATTAGTACTTGTTCCAGATATTTTTTTTCTACATCAGATAGCATAATACAGGTTATGATTGTAGATCAGAATGTATATATGTACCATCATAACATTCGTATCAAGAATATTGCTACCCAAATCAATCAGATGCATGTAAGTCAGAAAGAAGTGTCAGCAGATTTTTCTAACAGATACAGAAAGATGGAAATTCAAAAATATTCTTCCTTCCAGCAGATTAAGATGCCAGTGGCGTAATGGTGGTGAGAATATTTTCTTGGCCTGCTTTGGGCCCATTAGTACCAATTGAAAAGAGCATTGTTGAAAATTTATAGCCTGGTGTATCCATACATCTCAATTCAAATGGCCTCCTCAGTTACCAGATCTTAATCTAATAAACCACCTTGGGGATTGTTAAAATGGGACATTCACAACACGGATGAACTTCTGACAATCTTTTACAACTGTATCAGGCTGTCAAGGCAATTTGTTACAACAAAATCTCAGAGGAATGTTTCTGACTCCTTGCTGAATCAATACCACAAGGAATTGATAGTTTTAAAATATAGTGACGTGGAGCTTGTCAATTCAGATTAAAAAGAGTCTCTAATGTTAATGTGTCCTTGAAAATTGTCTCACAAGATCAGTTGTATATTCAGTCCCACAGAGCCAATATTTACTCTGTAATTAAGGGATGATGATGATGGCATTTGCTTTTCCAGAAACAGTTCACTTGCTTTATAGCCTCTTCGTGTTATAGTCAGCCTGTTTGTCATGCTGTGAACAATCAGCCATCTGGCTCTAAACCTGGGAGGTTTCCACAATGTGCTGGAGCCATAGCAGACATGCATACGCCAGAAATTAATTCTCACTAAGCGTGTCTTAGAACTAAATAAAATGGTCAGACTAAATATTTGGTAAAAAAAAAAATAAGCCTGGTTGAATTTTTCTCAGGTATTTTCAAAAATGGTTTAAAGCTATTTTTTTTAAATAAATCCATAAAATATTAAAAAAAATTATTTCTTAATGTTCAGAAAATATAAAGATTATTAAGTAATAAACTTTAATGATAGACACATATTACAGAACCTCACTCTCTGGCAGTAGAAGTCATAACAGTTTCAACCGTTTTAATTATTTATTGATAGATAATTCCTAAGACAATATTAAAGGCTGAATATTAGAGAACACATTATATGTAAATTCAGGCAGCCAAGTTGCTGCAGCTTCATCCTTTTATAGATGACATTTTAGTAGTTCCTCTCACATACTTTCCAAACCTGGACAGCTTAACAACGTTCAGCTTATTCTCTCCTAGCAGATTTACTGCCAGGCCAGATCGTCACTTTGGATAAATTCAGCCTATTTTCCTTCCAGAATAAAGGCTTTGGTTTTAAGTGTGCTCGCTGCCTCCTATTTCCTGTTCCCTGATGAATCATCCCATGTGGGCGGTGTTTATGTCCTCTGTTTGTCTCCATGTCTTGGCTTTATGAACCAACTGCACAGGGTTACTCTGGTAACAAAGTTCAAACCACTCATGGCACTAAAGAGCTTCTGAGAACAAATGCAGCACTTTACAAAAACAATAGCATAGAGATGAGAGTGTGCAGCCAGAAACCAACAGAGCAAGTATTTCAATGCAGGAAGGAGGAATTGCAGTATAATTTATCAACAACAGAAACAGGAAAAACTAAAAACAATCCCATTGCAATTTATTAAGCAACTTTAGCACCTATAAGATTTTTGTAATTTTCTTAAAATTTTCAGGCAAAACTTGGGAAGATAAAAGTCTCTGCTACTTTTTTAAATGTATGTGTGTATCTAGTTGCAATACAGAATGAATAAATTAGATACATTGTTAATGATTAGGGAAACTTAACACATGGCATGATTTAGCTGCATCTGTGTACAGAACCTTCTCAGTTCTTAAAATAACTGAGAAGATGGATAACATAGCAAACTGTTTACTTGATATGAGTAAGAACTGAGTAAGAGCTGTTGACATTTCATGGTTACAACTTCCATATCCAGAGAAAAGTGTCTGAGACATTATAGTTATGAGCACAGTTTTTCTGTAAAAAAACAAACAAACTCATTTTAGGTGTGGTTTGTCAACTACAGAACAACGTGTTCAGATAGTTCTTTTTTTTTTTAGTTCAACTTTTGGATGCATCCTTGCTGCAACACATCTGGATCAAAAGGCTGAATTACCAGGTTTTGGAAAGGCCTGGACATTAACCATGTCTTTGATCCAGGTGCCTTGGAGCAGGGATGCATTCAAAAGTTGCAGGACTGTCTCACTGAAGAAGGAGAGTTGCTTATAGCATATATAGGTGCAAAAAAAAAAAAGGTGCAACTGTAGCAAATTTTAAAGGGATTTTGCAAACTCATGCAAACTCACTATTTCTTCTCTCAGAAAAGAGAAGAAATAGTTCTGGTCAAGATTAAAAGTCACTGTTCCAGTGATAATTTCACTGTGACTACACTGTGATGGTGTATTATAATAACTTCAGAGTCATAGGAAGTTTGAAATATTTAATGAATAAAGTGTGAGTGTCACAAAAAAAGGACACAAAAACAGCAACAGATTCAGAGGCTGTGGTTCTTTTTAATTGCGCCTCGGAATATAAATTGGTTAAAACTATAAATTAATGAGTTGAATGAAGGATTTACTTTCACTTTTACCAAAGACAGCTAGAAACAATGCTGATAATTTAAATAGAAAGTGAAAAATGAACAGAAAGTTTCCGGAAACTATTTTTAAACTGATACAGCTGAACCACAGTGGGAAATGTTGTAAACAGATTTATAAAACAAAACTTTTCCTCCACACCACTCCATCCTGAAAGTCCTGGTAAATGACGAAGTATTACCATATTACAAGAGCCTTTTCCTGGGGTAATTTTTAGTTTCTTTTAACCCCAGGAAATTCAAGAAAAATGTACCGGGGAAACTACACAACTACAGAAAGTGGTTCACAAAGTTCAGAAAGTGGAAACTCTTCATGAACCACAGTCACACTAGGGTGTTTGCACTTCCTCCTTCCTTAATAACAGTTTTTTTTTTTAACTACCGCATGACCAAATTATAAGTCAAGTATTAAGATATTCAAGCATTTGGTGCAAGTGCTGAGGTGAAATACTGGAAAACATTCAAATCAGGAAGAATATGTCTATTTTGGCACTATTTGGAGAGTTTTCAACCTTTAGCGATGATGATGATGTGCAGACCACAGTGGCTGTGGGAGTCCTTCTAAAGTAGGGCACAGTTTCTTTTTCAGTTGCTTTCTTGAATCCCTTTTTTATTCATCTACGATTTGGGGCTCTGCAATTATGTTTGTCACTACTGTAGCTCTGAAGGGGGTTGTTCACAAACTGGAAGGTTAGTGGTTCTGTCAACAGCAGCAACAATTTGCCTTGTCCAAGTGCTAAGATAACATACTGAACACGAAATAAACCCTCATCTACAACCAGAAAAAAACAGCTCAGTTTATTTTCATTTTTCTTTTAAGGGTCTGAAATTTCCCTATTGCAGCCCCCGTCTAGTATGTGTGTGAAGTACACTCCTAGTGATTCTTTGAAAATTAACTGGGTAATTGGCAGCCAGGTGCTGCTAATCAAAGGCACTCAGTCAAGTAATTAGCAGTAAGTGTGAGCACATCTATAAGGCAGAAGCCTGTGTAGTGTGCTGATAAGAAGTACTTAAGTTTCTGTTTACAAAATGCCAGAAAGGGAAGACACCAGCAATGATATGAGAAATATTGCTATTGTTGCTTAACTGGAATGATCTGGAGGAAGACTGGAAAGACTAGAAGATCTGGAAAGACTAGAAGGCTCTCTAAAAATGACCACAGTTCAGCATTATATGACAGAAATGCCCATCAGTTCCTGGCTGGTACAATCCCTGAGGTCATATCTACAAAATGCTGAGAATAAAATACACACTTAAACTAAATATGTAGTCTTAGTTAGGATGATTAAGGTTAAAGGTCACAAAGCTACAAAGGACAATGACGGCCTGCTTGGAAAGGGTAGTCCCTCCTTAGTCTCATTAACACTTTACCACACCGAACCATAAAGCAGGGCTGCTTGATTATAGAAAATAATGTCAATTATTTTGGTCAGTAATGAAGTCTTTGAAATAATATAACATGATTAATTATTGAGTCTGGAAATCTTTTACAATTATTGCATATGAAACTAAATTAGACCATTCTTGGAAAAGGGAACGTGGCAAATAATATAATATATGGCAAGTTTTTTCTTGATGACATTCTTTTTTATACTGTTTGGAGGAAAATTTAAATAGAAATGTGTTTAATTGAGCAGCCCTGACATGGCAAGGAGAACATTTCAACAATATGGTGTTTTTAGACATCTGCCTTAGAAAATGCCCTTAAAGTCAATCAATATCAAGTGTGAAGTCGATTTACCTTACTTTTTATTTTTACTATACAGGACTTATTTTGTTTTGTAGCAGATTTGATCTTGGTTTCACGCTTCTTCAAAAAAAGTAAAAGAAATCTGAAATCTCTAAAATGGTTTCAAAACTTTTCCAGCAAAACTTTAATGTAATTTTCTTTCTCAATTTCTCACAAACTTTCTAAAATGGTAGACCTGTCAATATTTTTACTCTTTTTTTCTAGTAATTAAAAGCACAGAATAAACACAAAAAAAGAGATCAATCTTATTTACATTAGTTGAAACTAAACCCGCAACCCAGACCAGATCAACAGGAAAACTTCACAAATCAAAACCATAAAGACTTAACACTACAAAACTCATGAGTAACTGGAATTTGTCTATACCTGCTGTGAGTCTCCTTCCGTATAAGGCAGTTTGGTGGACACATGAAACATAATCTCCTTATTATGGAAATTTGTGTAAACTGATTCCATCCCCGTCTGTCCGTGAGTGACATCAAGCCCACCTCGAAAACTGGAGAAGCAAAATAGAAGTACGGGAATTAAATATAATAGAGAAAAAGATAGAGCAGAAAGAAAATTTGGAGTAAAAGGATAAAAATGTTGAGGGGACATATGATGCTGTCAGTAGAATGTAATTTATCATAGCTCTTGATCTATGATGATCACTCAATTAATGAAGGGAACTCCATCTTCCTACTTAACTTACAATCTAAGCAACTCAATCTTTGATTTTTTTTTTTCTCTAGAAATCTTTGATAAGCTACTGGGTGACTGATAGTCTCCCTTTTACAGACATTAGGTAGAGTACTCTACTAAAAATTTTAAGTATTTCAAGGAATTAACTGAAAAATGTCAAACCCTTTAAAGTCATGAAGCTCAATCTTTGTCCCCAAAAACTCCAGAAACTCAATGAAGGCTGGACTTTCTTTCATGTTCCCAAACAACTCCTCCTCTGATGTCTGCAAACAGCAGGCAGAAAGCATTTTCCAGGAGTTTGACACATGAGTCTGAAAGCAAAGATTAGCTGAAGTATCTCTGAAATGCACTCACCTGGCCAAACTTTTGATAAATGACTCCAAACTTGAAGTTGTTGCTGATTACATGCTCATCAAAGGTGACAATGAGTCTTGAAGCCTGGGGATGAAAAAATGGGGAGTTCTTCATGTCACGTCATGATGATTAAGTGTTGATGGATGACATGGAAAAGGAGGAAAAAATACAGCTACCTTTGGATAGAGGACAGGGTAAAACCTATCCACATTTACCTCTTCACAAACAAGCTGCAAAATAATAGAAACAACAATGTGCTTCATCCATGTTGAATACAACTTAATTACTATTTCAGTATGACTGTGATAACCTACCTTTGCCATCTGAACCACATTGGGAAACTCAGTAAGGCAGGAAATGGGGATCACATCATGGTGTGTTTTGTATTTTGTGCTGAAAGGTAAATAGCAATGCAGGCGTTTAGGAAAATGGAAGGAGATAAGCAAACAACAAAGAAACTATTACAGGCAAATATCAAGATATTAGGCGAGAAGCTTTAGGATCAATACTTTGTAAAACGTGGTTCGTTTCTTCTTTTTTAGTAGTTGTAACAAATTAAAATCTAACTCTTACATTGGGGAAAAAAAGGAAAAATATATTCAAAATGCTGAAGGCAGTAACAAACAATATTTTTTGCAGATAATCTGTAAAAAGAAAAAAAAAACAGGGTCGTCCCAGCATTGCTATTGCAATACACAGCTCTTGGACAGAAACAACCAATCAGAAATATCGTAGCACTGTCAACCAAGCCTGTGTACGTGCTGCTCACACCCTTCCCTTGGTCACCGTGTATCATCTTTCAAGCTCCAGATAAACCCTTTTTATCTGCTCTCATGATTTAAACAAGGTTACTTGAATCATATAATCAGCCAGTGAAGATATTGTTGAATAACAGAATTGAGCATTTTCAGTAAAACAGAAATACAACATCAGTTACTCTGCTGGTCTTTCAGGTCTGTTAAATATGACCATTTTCCACTGCCTGTGATTACATACAGTTGAAGGGGTGACTGTGGGTGGTGTTCACCTACCAGAAAACAGGACAACATGAAAAACATCGTGGGCTGTGCTATTGCTACCACACCGAACAGTCATCCACTCTGAAGATCCATTAACAAGCAAGGAGCGCTGCTATTAAAATCTTAAGAGGAATCTCTTGGGTGCTAAATTTAATTCACAGGTTACACTACACTGAGTGCTGCCTCTCACCCGCTCCTCTCTCTCAGTAAGTGTGATGAAGTGGAGGATTTTAGTGAATAAACATGACTTTGGGCAATAGTGGGTGGAAGGCCTTACACTTTTTCAGCAGAGGTGGATGCTGGGTTGATTGCTGGATATTTTGTCACCACTCTTTAAAAAAAAGCAAGCAGCAAATTACCCCTACTTCTCTCTTGTTGATTCAGCTTTTTTGTGTGTTTGAGAGGCCCCTCAAAGAAGAAAAAAAGAAATATACCAACACCACATTCTGCATATAAAAAGAAGAACAAGTACAGGGCAAAATGTTAAAACACTTGGCGGGAAAACAGAAAGGAAGGGTGCTGTTATTGTGATGAACAGAGGGAAGACGAAAAAAAAAAAAAAACATTAAAAGCAGACAAAACGAGTCAGAGTTGGAGGGAAATAATGGAGCATAATGGTACCGTAGCATCAAGCGCAGATGCTCTTGATCCCCAATGACTTCATACTTCATTGAGAAGACCAAGTGGCCGAGGGCAGCATCCATCGTGTAGTAATTAAAGTGTTCCTGGGGGCAGATAAGTGAAGAAAATGTTACTGTGATGTAATTCCACAAAGAACTGACAATAGGTGACACAATAACAAAAAGATACTGCTGTGATGAATTCACAATTAGGAGTATAGCCGGAAGTAACAACCCTATTATCATTGTACAAAAAGTTTTATTGCACAGACTACTGAACACTAAGACAATCTAACGATAGCTCCACAAAAACTCGACCATTCTTTAAATAAGCACATGACGCGGTTTTCAAACTTTTCACTTTTGAAACAGGCTTTGTAGCGCAGAAATGATCTGTACGATTTTCCTAGTTGTTTCATTGACTTGCTTTTTTATATGAAAAGTTCCTTGAAAAAAACTAAAGTAGATAACGTTTATAAAAAAAAATAAAAAATAAAAAAAAATGTTTTTTTTACATATTTGTTAAAGATATCATTACTTTCTGACAGTATATGAGACAGATTGTGGAAAAATCAAGCTCTTCTACCTTCCCTTTGTGGTTCTATTGCCACCTGCAGAAATACACTATTCTGTCAGAAACAACCAATCCGAGCCAGTAAGAGGTTCTTAGAGCTGTCAATGATTCTTGTGTATAGACACTCATGTCCTCCCTCTTGCTCTCTGTTGTGCTACTGCTCCTTTTCCACAGTATTTACAAGGCATGCACCGGCTTGTAAGCCACCAATCCTGTAACAAGTGAATGGTTTCTCCACAACACCTGCAGCAAATCACAATCTTGAGCAGCGTGTACATGAGGATCATTGACGCTGCTTAGACTCCGTTCCTAGCTCTGATTGGTTGTTTCTGATCTAGCAGTGTATTTCTGTGGATAACATCAGAAAGAGGCGAAGGGAGGTGATTTTCTCACAAATTATTTGTCATACTGTCAAAACTTTGTGAACACTTTTAACAAATATGTAGAATAAATATTTTTTTTATAAAAGTTACATATCCGCGCTTTAACCAACACATTTCCACAGTTTTATTTCAGTGAAAAGTATATACAGAGCCACCATTCTCACCTTGCCCATGAAGTTCTTCCTGTAGATCTTGGCAGTGCTGTTTGTCTCCAGTTTAATGTGGGAGGCTGGACAGGGAGGGAGATCAGCATCTGGCGGGTCTTTGGGCTCATGATTGGTTCCTTCAATCCAGTAGCCTCCAAACTGGGGCAGCAGGATGAGGGGAAAAGGGCTACTGCGACCCAGAACCTGAGGGCACAGGAGAAAGAAAAAGATAACACAGCTCTTTTGAGGTTTCAAGTTGAATTATTTAACCAATAACTCATGTATAGAGGGGAAATTATATGCAGTCATAGATATGAATAGAAATGTACCTCATGAACACTTGGATAAGGAATGTAGTCCTCTTCTGTCTGTAGGGAGAAAAACAAACCACATAAGACATATTTTTAATCAAGAACACAAAGTAGATTCTGTGGGCCAATATTCATTCCACACACAACTCTGCAAGGACAAGTGGGTATAGACAATGGATGGAATTGTCACTGAAAGTACAAAAAAAAGCTCCTAAATTTTGATTTCACTGCATGATTTCACAAAATTCCAAGATTTTCCTTTAAAATTTTACTGATAAAGAGACTGCTAATTCTACTTCATGTGTATATAAGGTGATAACAACTCAAGAAATAGAAGAATGAAGCTGGTCAGCTAGCATTAGCAAGCATAACCTAATTATCCGCCTTGAAAGTGGGAATTTCAGTTTAAAAAGCAAACAACATAAATCCATGAAGGTACTCATGTGCTTGTCACAATAACCAATAATTCAACTTGAAACAAGCTAAAAAAGTTTCTAGTTGCATAATTTCCAGTTTTTTGTTGTCTTTTTTTCCTTCTCTTTGTTCCAAAAACTAGATGACAAAAGTCTTCAGTCTGGTGTTTTTTTGAAAGACATTTTTGAATACAAAAAGATTTCATAACTCATTGTATTAGTTGTTTCTGTTTTGTTTTTTCCTTTTTAAAATTTTAAATGTGTTTCGGTTCCCTTGTTACATGTTCATTAGGATTTAAAGTGTATTGACCTTGGAGAATGTGTTCTCGTTATGTCATTTCTGTTATATTATTTATGTTTATTGCAATAATATCTGAGGAATTTATCGTCCACCAACATTTGTTTTCTTAACAGGCTGAGGTTCTCCAAAGCCTCGTGGATTATGTGATGTCATCATATGCATGTAATTTTTGGGATATTCCCTCTTTCATTACATCTTATGGCAAAATTACATTACAAACCAAATCTAACAGGAATAATTAAATTTTACAGAAACGTCTAGAGCTAAACAACAAAAATGTGTCCTACTGATGATGGGTTTGAGATTCTTTTTTGATCTTGGAATGGATTTGGTGGAAGTTTGAATCCTGTATTTTGTAACCTCTAGTGACAGGGTGCTAAAACCTTTCCATGTGAGAAAAGGCCAAGAGCCTCTCAGGGAGAAAAGTAAGATAATATTCCGGCAGAGTGTGTGCACTGGAGGTTTAATTTCTTTTACTTTGCAGGTAATGCATGACATGCTAAGACCATTTTCTCTCCCTTTGGCTTGTGGAGATTGCTCCCAGTTTGTGTAGTATTAATTTAATTGAACTCTACAAACATTGACATGTTGCAGTTTCTCTTCATGCAGTGTTTCCCATTCTCAAAAGAAGACTTTTACACAGCCCTCCCAAAGTAGAAATACTCAATTTAAAGCTGTAGCCTATATACAGGCAAAACTGTCACCATTTAGCACTTCACAAAGAAAAAGTGAAGCTCACAGTTTCTTACACTATCACAAACTGAGAGAAGAAGTAGAAGACGAAGTAGGAGTTTTAAGATTCATCTTTGGTGAGGATTGCATAATTACAGTCAAATTGGACAACATTGGGGCTCAAAACTTCTTATGAAGCAAATTTAGTATACTTAATGAGTCTTGTGTTGTCTGTAATGTAGTTCCACAATATTGGACAGAATTGTATCTCAACAAACAGGCAAAGCAAAATTATGACCTAGTTTGAGATACACATTAAATATCTCATTTGGTCTTGGATGTTATAGCTGCTGTAAGCTCTCTAGAACTAATTTATACAAATATGACGCCTATAGAGCATAATAACAAAAATATACACAATAAAAAAATAGACTAGATAGTTTCCTCAAAAACTGATCTAACTTTATACTCAAAGTGTAAAACTTGGCTGTTGTGTATGTAGTTCTCCCAATTTCATTGCATATTCTACAGACTCACCACAGCCTATTCATGCGATTGTGGTTGGTTCCTTAGAACAGAATAACTCAAGCTTCTAATTGTGTTTTAGAATACCTACCAAGAAACTCTAAGCTGTCCCAGCATCTTATAAGGGTCAGTTGTAATATGATGTTCATACATGGCAAGTGATCATAAGCTGGATTTAATAATTGCAACATTGTTGTGTTTCCTTTTGCTGTTAAATTTACCAGAAAAGGAACTGAAAGGTATTATTTTTTAATTCTAAATCCCATTTTAGCCAAATTCTCCATAAGTTACTGAACATTTGGTCTTTCTGACATGACCCCAGACCTCTTGCTGAGTCCAGACTTCAGCAAGGACTTCATCAGTCAGTCTAGATAATAAGGCAGCAGAAAATTTTGCTGCCCATGTCGCTCCTTAGCTCATAACTCAAGTCGGGGAGCGCCCTAAAGCCTGCCCGACAGCTGATAAGGAAAGGTTTTATAACACTGCCATTCCTGATGCTTTACCAGACTGTGCACTATGAGGAGATTTGTGAATTTGTGACTCACTTTGAGGGGAGGAGGGAAGGGGCATCTTTGCTCATCCATTCTGTACCCCTGTTGAGAAAAAGGAGAAAAAAGATAATGTAGTTATGGAAAAGGTCCAATATCTCTGAAAGGTGTTCACACAACTGTAGACACAAAAAAAAAAAAAAAAAAAAAAAAAATGATGAGAGTACAACCGATTCTCACCAGCAAATACATTTATTGTGTGGCAGTGTATTTCATGATCATTGTTACAATAGCTCATGTTCAAAGATGCAAGCTCAAAAGTCAGATGTGTTAGAAAGAGGAAGTGAAAAAGTGTGACATCTTACATGTTATAATGGGTAAAAAAAAGATAAGTAGGGGATGTTCATGAGAACAGCCTTAATGCAGATACCATGATCTCAAATTTTTCACAATAATTCCATCGACATCACACTCTGCTGAGCTGATAAGTGCTGACAGTTTCCAGTGTGCATAGAAAGATAAATGATGGATGAAATGATCTCTGCAGCCATTTTTTTGGTTTCGGTTGAATAGCCTCCAGCAAGATTAGAAATGTATCAAATTTAGCAAGGATGTGTATGCAGCAAGATTAGAAATGTATCAAATTTACTGAATGTATCAAATTCAGCAGATTTGTATCATACAGTGTGTGAATGAGTATGTGAATGGAAATGACTTCATGTAAAGTGTCATTGAGTGTTCCAATGACGTGCTATATATAATTCTGACGTAATTTCATTTCAAATTTGGACTATGGAAAGTAAAAAAGCTGAAATATGAACATAGTACATATAATATTTAAACAAAAAACTTTTGATCATTTGCATAAGCAAATTAAGGTGTTCAAAAATAAGATTTAAAATGAATAGCCAGTTGTTCTTTATTGAAGCACTACATACCCAACAAAATACTACCGCTATAGTCTCTGCTGGATTACTGAAAGTCTAAAAAATGTTTAGACAGACTAGATAGTCACAGCTGAAAGAAAACAGGTGAATTATGCAAGACTATAGCTCAAAGGAAAGCCACATGAATGCTTGTGACATCAAAGATGTTGACTGATCAAACACCAACTGTGGTTCTTCCTTCAATATCAAATATATTTCAGACACGTCTGTGTTGCTGCTGCACTGACAAGACAAACTAGATGCATAAGAATCCACCTCAGCAAAATGAAAATCGTTACATTTCACACATCTGATGACAGACAAAACTACCCATCTGTGAAGAGAAAACACAAAGGAAGCTCTGTTGAGCACATTCAGAAGCAGAAGGTTTCTGTAGACATCCCGAAGCTGCCGATATAACAGACAGATGCAAGGACAAATACATACAAGAGCTGAACTGGCTGGGCTGCAGGGCGAAGTAATATAGGGGAAAGCGAAAGAAAAAAAGAGGGGTCAGAACACTAAATTAGCAAATAAAAAGTATGTCCTAAGTGAGTGAAATTCTTAGTTTGCCGTTTGATTAAAGCTTATGAGAAGGAGAAGCATACAGTTTAATAGGTGAGCCAGGAGACTTGTTACTGTACCTGCATCCGCTCAATCATAGCAAATAGGTCTGAGGTCTGGGGGAGAGAGTTGACACCAAAAAGGCACATAGGTTTTACATTTTGTAGAGATGTTACCATACCTTCTAGACTCATCTTACATTTCTCTGCTTAATGAATAGCCTGATGGTACATTTTCAACAGATAAAAAATGGAAAGTTTCATCACCTCAAATTAAATTTTTTCTCTCTCTGCACTCCCTGCCCCACTTGACACAGCTCTCTAAATTCACTGCCAACATTACCCTTGAAATTGCTCCTTTACGCTTTAAGACAAACATGCTGTAAACAAGCAACTCCCGGGGAGGAAAAATGAGCCTCAAAGCACCAGGGTGCTTCTCTGTGTTGCTAAAGCCAATTGCTCCTCTGACTGTTTGCAACTGCCAAATTAGCAAATTAGCTGCTGCACATCCTGGTTCTGCCATCTGAAGCACAAAGTCACATTAATGTGTGACTGAGACACACTCTGTGCTGCTTATCATGTAGCAAACAGAAAGGAGGCAAAAATTACCTGACACTGAAAATTACGTTTTCAGTCATGACATCATTCGTATTTAAGTTAACGAGATCTGATTCTACTCATAAGATGGAAAGATTTCAATCCAGCTAAAGACTTTTAACTACACTTTAACCTTTCACTGTTACTGATCTTATGTGTTTTGCTCTGTGTTTTGTCCAATTAGCTGAAGCACTAGTGGAAGCTGGAGTCAAAGAAAATATCCCGAGGCATGAACCTTTCATCTGCAGAGTCCACATTAAAGGCTTCTACCAGGTCCGACTTGTGCAGAAGGAGCACTGCAAAGAGCACTCGCAGTAAAGGCTGCACTGTCAGTTCACCATGTAACACAACTGGACTGCAGTGGCAAGCTGACGTTTCCACATGACAGCTTAAATTTACTGAGGGGTGCTGCAGGCCCTCCAAAACACATATGCACATGGAGGCATTGGGGAGAACATCTATCTTTTTACATGAACATGTACTGAAATGTACTCTTTTGAATCATGCACGCACCTGTCACTGCCTGCAACCAGGAATGCATCCGCTCATCCGGTTCTGACCTCATAAAGCCAAAGGTGCAGCCTTAAACTATTGTTGCATGTAAAAACAAACACTACCATATGATGTTCAGGGAGACCCTGCTTCCCGCATGATAAACACAGGCATCAACAAATATTCTCCTTTGCTCTGTCAAGATTATTAGTAAACTACTCTGACTCCACAGTAAAGTGATTAGAGTTGATCTCTCTCATAGATGGTAAGCCAAACAATTCACTGGTGCAGAATGCAGCAACTCTGAAGTTAAATGCCCCTCAGAAATTTGCATTATTTGTTACAGATTTCCATCAGAGCAATCCATGTACATATGCAAACAAATTAAATTAAGAGTCTTTTCTTAGGTAAAAATACAAGATAAACTAATCTACTTCATTTTTGTCTGAGAAAAAAAAGTGAAACTGAAATCAATTTCAAATGTTACTATATCTACAGAAAAAAAGAGTCTAAATTTTACAAGCAAATGTTTACATTACTCACGTCACTGAGGCATCGTCTCTTGAGAAAAGGCTTACTATAGGGACTGTTCAGAAGTCCTTCTAATACGACACCCTTTCCTATCCTGAGCTCAGCCATCATTCCACAAGTACAGATGCAGGCGAGCTGACAAGAGTGCGGGTGTTAATGTCACCTTCAGCCAATGGAAAAAAAGGCAAGATTGACAGTGACACTTGACACTGACGGTCTCTCAGCAAGTAAACTTGGAGAGAAAACTCGATCGCTGTCCATCAGAAAACATATATATATGTTTGAGTCAAGAGCTTGTGCTGTAATGTGAGAATATTATTTCTCCTTCCTTCCTCTTTTCAAATAACCCCCGGTGCCACCGCCCTCCCTGTGAAACAGACACACAGCTGTTCTTTAGGGAGTAGGACAGAGGAGGAACAATGTTGCTCCCCTCCCTGTCTTCTCTGCAAATATCTTCTCTTTTTTTCATGCAATCTCACACACAAACTTACATGTGAACTGAAAGAAACTTCTTAGTTCTCTTTTTCTTATATTACAAGATGTGACTTATTCTGTTCCTCTTTTCCTTCATTTTAGATTTCTCAAGCCATCTCATTTGGACATTTTTTCTTTTCAATGTAACATTGCTATAGATATAAATATTTGTTTTATTTATTTCCTCAATTATGTCCTTTCTGATTTAAAAACGTTAACAGGTGGATGTCACCCTAACCCCCTCTGGTCCTTCCAGGTAAAACACTATTATCTGCAAAGTATTTTTAAGAATGTGCTTTGAAGTCTCTGAATTGAAACATTTATCTATTTGTGTGGATATCATGTTTTTTTGCTCCCTCATAGCATGTAACCTTTGAATGTATATCATCCACCCACATTTCTATGATGTAAAGACATAATGATAATAAAGTATCTTATTTTCTCTTCATACTGGTTTTGGTGTTATATGTCCCCATCTGGCCATTTCTTTCTAGAATTACTACCATCTCAGTCTTGCTACAGATCTTACATTTATAACTAATATTATGTCTTGAGTGCCTTTCTGCTCTTTCTAAGTAATATTGGGAGTCTGACAAGTTGAGTTTATGTGTTAATTATCCAGGATTTCTTCTCAGCCTTCAGTGGGCTGTCTATTTTACTCACAGACACACCAACCAACACAGCTTTATGCCAAACTTCTGTTTACAATCATTATTTTTTAAAACGGGATGGGTCAATGCTCTTCACAGTAGCTGACCCATGATTGTCTGCATTTCTGCTCTTTCCAAACTACAATTTTGTCTTTTTTCTTTAAGGAAGAGGAATGTTTAGATTTTTCTCCCATGTCATAACAACCATGCCCTTCTTTCTGTCTGTGTGGTAACAGGTGATGAAAGGAAGCTTACATTATGTTGCAAATAACTGAACAAACACTGCAGAGTCTCTGGCTAAGAAAATACGAAGCTTAGAGGCTTGGAGATCATGACTTTAACATTTGAAGCTGTATATACAAGATACTGTATTTCAGAGCATGATGAAGCCCAATCTTAACCAGAGGCACAACAGCTGTGACTATCATTTGCACATAGTCAAGACTGAGTCTGACACAAAGAAGTGGGAGTCAGCCAAGGAAATACAATGTGAAACACACAAGGGAAGAAATAAAAGACAGGTTGTTGTTCTATGAAAGTAGGGCATTTTCTGTGAAAATCTTTCCATCAGACATTTCTCAAATATCCAATATCAACACTGGCCTACTTCTAAAAAAAGAAAGTTGAGATCTCTTTGAGATAGCTTCTTCCTATGCTGGATGGATCTAACCAAGATGATAATAATGTTTTCAGTTTGCAAAGTAAGAAGGACAAAATTGTGTATTTTTCCGTACAGCAGAAATGATGGGAAGTTTCAATAAAACTCATCATAGGGGGGAAAAAAGAGAAAGCAACTGACAACATGAAACTTTTAAATGGAGTCTTTTAGCAAACAGGTTAGCTGAAAGTCACACTGAAATCCTCACGGAAACATTTACGGATAAAAACTGAACACTAATTGCATACTTATTTAAGTATAGCTGTAACAAGGAGGCAAATGAGTGGGAGACGCTAATTACTGTTCAGATCTGCACAGTGAACTCTGGCATTGTTTCACTTGTAAAGCATACTGATTGTTGGATTGTACTGCTGAGAACAACACTTGAGCTCTCAAGTGTTGTCGAAAAACAACCTCCAAGCTGTTGGTGCAATCCTATTTTTTGATGTGATCCAACGAAGTGAAATGTGCAAGAAAAGACAAAAACGTACAAAAAGCAAGAGAGGAGAATCGCGATCAACTTGACTCAACTTTGGGACCTCAAGACCTTCTGTCTGGCAAGGTGCTCAAATTTTTGTCTAAAGAGCCTGTAAGAGATAATAGAGAGGCTCTGTTCTGAAAGCACTATCACCTTGTATGCCCAAGGGGTTAATGTATGCACATATCTTTTAGTTTAAGATTATTACTGGCCTTTATGAAGTTTGCATCTGCATGCTTGCCAAAGAAAGAGACACAAAGTGCAAACAAAAGAGAGTGAGCCACTGTTTCTGGGTGATATCAAATGGCTCATTGATTGCCTGAGTAAGTGAAAGTTCTGCACATGCTATATCTGTTTGAGTGCCTATAGAAGTTATTAATATCCACGACTAAACTTTCAGTCTGCAAGCTGAGCACTAAAGCTTTGACTCCAGTAGGTTTCACAGCCAGATCTCCATTTTAAATTCTACTCAACAATGAGATGTTACTAAATCAATCTTCCGCCACCTCTCTTTCCCTCAGATAAAAGTGTGTGGGTTACGAAGGCAAACTTCTGTGTAAAATAGAAAAATGTACTTCAAAGAACATCATTCAATTGGCTTAGAAGCCTCAGTTTCAGCCAGAAAAATCCATTTATTCTGCTGGCAGACCAGACTACCCTGACCTCGCTGTGGCCACTGTAGTCTGGGGAACAACCACCGGAGTTACAACAATAGGAGTTTGCACAAATGACCCTCTTCAACTAATAAACACCTGAAGCAAGACTGCTGAATGTCACAGATAAGTACTCTGTAAGCTGAAGCAGGATAGTTCCTTCCAAAATGGCAAGTTTAGGTCAAAAAACAGTGTTCAACAGTGTTCAATTCCCCATCACACAGCAACATTCAGTAGAATGTTGCTGTTCAAAAAAATGACTGAAATAATTGAGACAAAGTATTTTGTGAAAATTATTCATTTTTAAATAAGAGTGATGCTGAACAAGTAGCAGTGTAGAATTTTTCAAGTGTGAAATGAACAACAATGAGAAACTACTGCACAGATCGAATTTTAAATGTAAGATGTTCTTCCTTTGTCCTGTTTTTCATGTTTCAAGTCTGCTGTCTAGTTTGTTCAAAATAAGGAAGGCACTGTCTTCTATGGTTATCTTTCTAAAAAAATGCACAGAAGTAGGTCTCAGTGTGTTAGATACTTGTCCTGTTGTTCAAACTGTCTGATTCAGGAATCTCAAACTCTGAACCTCAATAGTCGGTGTCTTGCAAATTTTAGATGCATCCCTGATGCTCCTGGATCTATAAATTTGAGGTCTAGCTGTGCAGGAAAGTCAAACAATTTGACTTTCTACAGCAGCTCTATATTTACATCAATTGGTGCAATGAAACCATATTTGTAGAAATACAACAGCTTGACAGCTGTTAAAGTTACTTAGGTTTGAAAGCTTCACCTTGACTACTGTAAACATTCTTGCCATTGTGAAGTTCAAGTTTTGTCTCATCTAATCATAAAACCTTTTGGCTTTGCCTTGGCCATCTGGGTAGCTACAAAATCCAGTAAATTAAAAGTGTTGATTGTGGTAGGTATTACTTTCCTAGGTGACGCTGTATAAAATCCTAGTAAACATGAATAATAACACTTGTGCATCTCTATTTGTTCACTTTATGGTAGATGTGATTAAGCCTTGGTGGTTCCAGCCAGGGTTGTCCTTGAGCATCCCAAGTAATTCTCTTTCATTTGACAGACAGCTGAAACATGACTGGGTGATTCAACATGACAGTAATTACAAAAAAACCTCAAAAACTTTTGGCAATAAATACAGAGGGTGAACATAAGTGCTTAGGAAATCCTAAATTTATTAATTTAATCTTGTAAGTATTTTTTGTCTGTTATAAATTGAGATAAATCTACAAAAAATTCAAACCTTTGCACCCAATTTTGCTTTTTGTGTTATTACGTAAGTTACAGTAGTTATCACACCATGGAAAGGCAAGCTTCAAATAATAAATTAAAAGTTCAAAATTAGTGTGGCATTAATGCCTATGTAAGAGTTTTAAACTTTGCATAAGATCTGTATAAAATATGATTACTTTAACTTTAAAATAAAATTTAAGTTATTTGTATATCCAACATGTGTATAGCAAATGCGAGTTATTTTAAGCCAGTGCAAAGTAAATTTCAAGTGAGAGACGAAAATAATGAGATGTCTCTATTGGTATGTTTGAGGTAGGAAAAACTGCTGCACATCTATATTTGTCCCATGAGCCTGTGACAGAGGGCACAGACTCTTCTGTCAGGCGCCACACCAGCCTGCCAATGAGAGTTACTGCATCACTGATACTGATGCACTGGGGGCATCGGAGGCCTTTTACCTGGGGCCAACATTTGAAGGATATGATGAGCCAAAAACATGGAGGAAAGCAGTGGGGAATCAAAATGCAGAGATGGAAAGAGTATAAGATAGGTTAATTCCATTTTAATGCAACTATTGCTTTTGAGACTGGAGTTATTTGGGTTTCTTAATAAAAACATGCAAACATTCAAAAAGTCATTGTCAGAATTTTTCTTAATTTTTCAAAATGCCCATATACACTTTATATGTGTATAAAACCTATTTTTCAGAGATTGAAAAATAATACTCAGGTATAAGCAGTGGTTTTATGCAGCACATAATTATCCATGTGGTTTCCACATGTTTGAGATTGCTAACTTGAAATAAAGGTTAGGCAGGTCAGTTCAGCATAATCATGGTCATTCAAACAGGTATTTCAAAAGCTGGCCTCAAGGGAAGTTTCCAAATCCTGTTTGAAAGTGACATTAGCATCTCCACTGTCAGCAGAGGAAGTAAGAAGTGCTGTAAAGTTTCCTGGTAAATTTCTGTGACCTGAAACACAGCAGATTACCATATATCACTGAAAGCTTTGCAGTGGACATCAAACAACTTGGGTTCTGTACCTCTCCATTCTTTTTGTATGTTTGGATTTATATCTTATTAGTTTAAGTAAGTTGCTTCTGA